TTATTTGCACTGTTACGATGTTGATTGTGTATTCACTTCATTGTTAGCATCATGGCGTGGACAAAATGTTCTGGCTTGAGCCAGGCCCATTGACCCCGACGACAACAAATGTCGTGTATCTCTGTCGCCCGCTCATCAAATACGTCAAGATTATTGCAGGTGTGAATTTTCCTGTTGTGTACGGTCGTGCAATAGACTCAGTGCATGCAGATCAGGTCAAAGCCCATATTCAAGAGTCGCAAAAGCATAGATATACACTCTTCCTCGTACCTCGCATCTCTACTCTAGTATCAAGGATACTTGAGGAAGAGGGCGTCCTCGGCGATATTACCATATCTTCCTACAACTTGCAGTTCATTCCAATTGCGGACGATGTCATCTCGTTCGAGAACGATAACGCGTTCAAGGAATTATGGGTGGTATGTACATCATCTACATATCAACAGTATAGCATAGCTCAGTCCATTCAGGATGGCGACGAAACCGTGATCTATAACTCTGCGTTAGCACTCAACTCGTTGCAGAAGGTGTACGGTCGCTTCCCTCGCATATTAGGAAAGGGAGACTATGCCTCGGTATGCTCTTCCATATTCCTGCATAGCTCCAGATAGAACCATTCTGCACAGCGGCTGGCAACCCTTCTTACGAAATCGCTACCTGATCAACCTTCTCCCTTGTCAGACTCCTCGATACCTCCTGCGCCGTTTGACTCGCTCATTATTATCGACCGCACCGTTGATATGATCACACCGCTTCTGACCCAGCTCACGTATGAGGGCCTCATCGATGAGTTTATTGGTCTCAAGAACTGTAAGCGGCTATCTACAAGATGCGAGAACCTGACCAGTATTGACATATTTGTAGCTCATGCTGAATTACCAGCTAGCCTCCTCACCCTCCCCGCTGCACCTAACCCCTCAAATCCCAACGCCACCCCATCAGGATCTGCATCTGTCACTCCACTTATCAATGAAAAAACAAAGAAACACCACCTCTCGACTTCCACTGACCCGCTATTGGCTGAGCTGCGTGACTTAAACTTTTCATCAGTGGGAAAAAGACTTAGTAGAGTGGCACACCGATTAGATGAAGACTACAAAGTGTGTGCTTCCACTCATTGCCGTGATACAGCTATTGACAGACAAAAGGCTCGATTACAGGCGAAGACCGTTGCGCAGCTTCGCGACTTTGTTGGAAAACTTGGCGGTCTTCAAGGTGAACACCAGGCGCTGAGACTTCGTGAGAGCAACTTTTTCCTGTTTTCTAGGGGGTGTTCTCATTTCCCTGCAAAGATACTGGCCTATCGGAGATGCTCTCTCTGAAGACACGCACGGAATTATTTAATAAATCGCTTGAAGTACAGCAGAGTAAGCACATTTGCTCATGAAACCCCCCTTGAAACTTGATGTCCAAAAATAGATCTTCTGGCATCGTACGAGGTCTCAACTCAGATTAGTGCAATCGAAGATATGATTGCACAGGGTGCAAGTATGCAGACTATCGTGCGATTGTTATGCCTCGCCAGCGTTACTAATGGTGGAATCAAGGCCAAATCCTTGGACAGTGTAAAACGCGAGCTTCTCCAAGTAATCTCGTTCGGTTTTTCCCGTGCTTATTGTGAAGCTCACGATCCATCTTACAGGCTTACGGGTATAATTACCTTCCTCTGCTTCTCTCGCTGGCCACACCCCCTTTGGCTGTTTTACTACCCAATCCCCTCCCAATTTCCGCTGCTCCTGTTGTCGCAGGAAACAAATACCCCTTCACAACCCTACGCAAATCACTCCGACTTCTTATTGATGATAACCCTGAAGCGCTGGAGGAAGTTGAAAATGACATCAGTTATACATACTCTGGATACGCACCTATTAGTATCCGGCTGGTACAATGTGTTGCCCAGAAGAGTGGAGTCATCAGTAATCCTGCAGAGAAGAGCAGTGCAGACGACGGAGATGCCAAGGGCAAAGGGTCTAGCGCCAGAAAACTCCACGCGCATCCGATCGTGGGCTGGAAAGGCTTTGAGGACGTGTTAGGTACGATCCCGGGAAAGACATTTGACATTGCGCAGAAGGTGCCTGCATCTACCAATTCCACAGCTTCTTCCGTTGCTTCCTTGAGTAAGTCTCCGGGTCGGCACCATTTACAGGCACTCCACTATGCTGACATGGATACCCAAATAGTGCGTCCACACGAGCAAACGACCACAAGTGCCGTATTTTTCCTGGGTGGATGTACGTATACTGAGATTGCCGCCCTCCGATGGGTGAGCCGACAAAATAAAGGTACCATTCTATTGCACTCGAGCGTAGAGATGGTGCTGACTTTTTAGCAGGTCGTAAATTCCTCATTGTGACTACGGGGATTGTGAGCGGGAATAGCTTAATTGATAGCATTGCAAGCACTGGGAAGAACCTTTCTGCGACCAAGGACGTGAACACCTATTAGTGTAAACATTGATCTATGGCTAAGAAGGTCTACATGTATTCCGCCGTCTAGCACGCATCTCGTACATATTGCTGATCGATACAGGAAGAATTGAGTCTAAAAAAGGGATTATTGGGGTTGCCTTAGGGAAGAAATAATGTCGAACTTGCTTAGAAACATGGATACGAGTCTGGATATCTCGTATCCCAGACTTGGATCAACAGCGACGCGACGCGTTTGTTTGCCTATTGAATTGCTGGACCCCTGGTACTTGGTGGAGTTGACACTTGGTCTTCTGACTCTTCTCAACTATATACAGTTACTATCAGAGTAGCCGAATTGCGACAGCCTAACGAGATTCCAACTCAACTCTAAGTTGGCAGGAAACGTGTGTACTTGCCCATGGGGATGGTAACTAAAAATGACAGTTGACAAGCCCAAAGAACAGGTTTTTTCGATGGCCAAGTGCCCCAGCTGCAGGTTCACATTGTGGCGAGCAACTTTCTTCTTAAATACTTTTTTTCGTTGTTATTATTACGTCAACTTTAGTGACCGGGGTCCGTCTGGCGCGAGCCCTCCCCCGGCGGGTCAACAACTTACGAAGAAAAAGGTCCGCAAACTCGAGCCAATATGAACTTTTTCCTCTCTTCAACAGACCACACCCACGTCCCCTTTCCACACACACCTTTCAACTTTTGCCGATCTCAACGGTAAGCTGACCCGATTATTGTCCTAGCTCAATATTAATGACGCCTTCTAGCTAGCTTGCGGCTTGAACCGTGCACTGCCCCTTTTATCAGCGTCCTCAACGAGTTCGCATCAACCGCGTTTTCTCACTTGTACACCTGACTTGCTTGTCCTTACCTTGAATCATGCCCCCCCGGACAGAATCGAAGACCGCGTCTGATAAACCCGCCAAAAAGACCAGTATGTCCCGTCGTCATCAAATACGTAGTTGATCGCTTATTTGTTTATTTTCTTCATAGAGTCATCTGGCTTCGGTGGAAGGAAGAAGCTCAGCGCGTTCAACAAATTCATGCAAACTGAAATGGCCCGGTTGAAGGAGGAGGAACCCGACATGTCTCACCAAGACAGGTAGGCTAATTATCCCTCGCCTACGTCTGTCTGCTAATGCACCAATCTATAGGTTCAAATTAGCAACGTCCAACTGGAAGACAGCTAAAGAAAACCCGAGGGCTGCTACATGATTCCTATATTACCGTGAAACCCCCATCGCTACGATCGATTACTGCTTTGCGCTTTCCTCGTTCCTTTGCCTCCTGTTTGTTTATTGCCGCTCGCTTCCGTCGTTTACATTTGACTGATAAGCTGCGCCGAGTATTATTCATATCGCCTGTCATTCTTTCTGTAGCCCTCTTTCTGTGTTGTTCAGGGTTGTCGTTGTCATTCTGTTTAGTGTTGCTACTAATTTTCACCGTATTCACACTGCTAGTTGACTTTGCATTGCAATTATTTGATGCTCTCCTGGGTCGTGCGTCGAGTGCTTATGTTTTCGCCGCACTAAGCATTCAAACATTCAGATTGGGATGCGAGACTTGAACGTTGAACGTTTGAACCACGTACGATGAGATTATGACACGACAGCTGACGCCTAGGTGTTTGCCGGAAAGCCTTGCTGGAACAGACCGATAGATATTCACATGGACTTGTGGTAAGTTGCCTTGCTTGAAAGCCGGACACCATCTAAAATAAGTAAAGGCTAGGGTCGGCCGGTGAAAATAGGTTGTCTCAGAAATTCTGCTGGAATCGAAAGGCTAGGTGAGTTCAATTAATCGGAAGTCGTAGCCGGAGCGGCTGTTGTCGTCGTGCACGATGTTGAGCGTGGAAATGACGTACTTTGTATGGCAAAGCAACGCGTGGATCATCGTGTAGCCCCTGAGCCAATGTTCCGATGAACTCCGTACCATGCCAGCCTAGGCGCCCTGACAAGTTAAGTCTCTTGTCGTCCTGTAACACCGTATTCCGCTTTTCTTTTTCTCTCTCTGTCCTCTGTCTCTCTTATCTTTCTCTCTATCTGCTCTGTCAGCCTATATCTCTTTATCACCTACAATTGTATCGACACATTACTTATGGAGCAAGCGCCTCGCATTGATAACGAGGATGTGTTGTTCTCCTTCGATCCTTTTGAACTGGCCGAGAGCCCCAGCGATCAAGGTTCGTTCCTTTCTTCCTTCAAGTTGTGTTCGTATCCTTCATCAATCGTCGCCCGCATAACAGACGCCCTATCTAATCTTGACATCCTGCGAAATCGACTCATGGAAGCAAGCGGACAGGACGATCCAGAGCCTAGTGCCATGCTGGGCAAGGGCAAAGGACCCTCATTACCGATGCCCATCCCAGCACCTTTCGGTCGTAATTCCTCTGTGACAGTGACATTACCGCCTACCATCGAGTCACCTCTCGAGGGTACTTCATCATCTTCTCAACTACCATTCGTTCCCATTACAGGGGAACATAACATAATATCATTATCACCAGATAAGCTCAGCACTTTGGGACCAGAAGATCGCGATATACAACTCGCCGGATCATCGAGTAACGATGATTGTGTATTTATGAATGCCTCATTGCCCGGCAAAGGGAAAGCAAAGGATCTAGCCTACACGTTGCCTCCTCTCTTGTTCTCCACGAGCGACGTGCAATATCGTGCCATTGACTGGCCATCCCCTGATCCTGGTTCGCCAGCCCCAACTGCGGGGCCTTCCTCTTACGGTTCAACTCACACCTCGCCTCCCTGCGCGTCCTCTCACTCAGACTCCCAGTCCCCCGAGAATAGTGCACAACAGCTTCCGGGACTGACAAGAGTGCCCTCCCGGAGGCGATCATTGTCCAACCTATCAATTCATTCTACGCGTTCGTTAGCTGCTCGATCCATGTCAAGGATCAAAGTTAAACTGGGCTCAGCATCCAAGGGCACAAGTAACCTTGCGCGTAGATTATTGTTCAGGAATAAGGCTAGCGCGGCCACGACATCAGTAGATCTCAACCCCGCCGGCTCTGTGTCGGATCCTTTCTTAGGGGACCTAACAACAGCAGGGCAACGTAATTGCCTTCCAGCATGGAAAAATTCCGAGTTTCAGCCTTGTCTGAACGTCGAGCTTCCATCAGACACGCGAACACATGTTCAACAGAGCGCTGAAGGTCCTGAAAGCCTCAGTAGTATCACAGGCAAAGGCCGCTCATATTCTTCTCCACTCTCTCAGTCTGTCTTTGATATCATCCCTCGTGGCAACAGTGACGTCTTTGCCCCCGTGCCTTTAGTCCTGCAAAGTGTCTTTGATGACGCTTTACCCAGAGAACTGAAGTTGCAGATATTCTCAGCCTTAATTTCCCTGCACGAAGACGAATTTCAGCTGTGGAAGTCGTCGGGACAATGGACTACCTCAAAGGCATCCTCATCCAAGTACCGCTGGGTGGGCAGAGATCGTGGGATGCGCGAGCTGGTGAAGTTGAGCAGGGTAAGAATGATGTGTACGGTGTTGCGGTATCTGTGATGACGCATGTTGTGTGTTAGGTGTCAAAGGCGTGGCGCTCACTAGTCTTTGATGGTCAGCTGTGGATGGATGTCGACCTCAAGGCATTCCCAAACCTTCCGGTGCCCTTCCTTCTGCGCCTTGCAGAGACGCTTGGGCCATTCATCAAGAACATAGATCTTACCGGATACACAAAGCTTGATCACGGCACTCTGGGTCAAGTCACGACGAGCCTCTGTATACGCTCCGCGCCAACCATTGACTTCGCATATACACAACTTTTGGACGTAAACCTGTCAGGGTGCAATGCCCTGACTACGCAGGCATTACACAACCTCGTCATCCATTCTCCGTTTCTACGCAGTCTTTGCGTCAAAGGGTTGAAGGCCGTTGACAACACTACGTTCGATGTTCTCGCGCTTTGCCCCCACCTGACATCCCTGAACATGAGTCGGTGTTCCAATATCAACGGAGACGGACTTCACAGATATGCAAATGCCGTACTAGGGCGTCACGGCCAGCTTGCGCTGAAAGAGCTCAGGCTATGTGGATTGGAGGGTATATTTGACGAGGCCCTGAGAGTTTTAGGCAGAGCAGCACCCTCGTTGGAAATCCTCGATCTGAGCTATTCTCGTTCTCTGCACAACTCGGCGTTAGGGGCTTTTGTGGCGTGTACAGAAGAGGAGAAGTCAACGGAGAGCGTGGTGCTGACTGCGCGTGAGGCGGGGCGAGAACTGCGCGATAATGGGCGCTACCGGAGGCGAATCACGAAGCTTAGACATCTGTCGCTTTCGAACTGCAAGCTGCTTACAGACGTCGCATGCTCCAATCTAGCGTATGCAGTGCCGCGTCTAGAGTTGTTGGAACTAGCAGGCATGGGGACGGCGATGAAAGACGAGGGGCTTGTGAGGCTTTTGGGAACAACGCCACTTCTCCGAAAGCTTGATCTTGAGGATAACGAGGAGATCACTGACGCCGTCCTGAGCGTACTGACCCCCAGTCCTCCAGAAAGCACCGGATCAGGGTCGACACAGCCACTGCAGACAGGGCAAGTGCTAGAACACCTGGTTGTGTCGTTTGCTGTCAGCCTCAGCAACGAGGCCTTCCTTTCTCTCATTTGCAATTGCCCTCGCCTTAGGGTGTTGGAGGCAGATAGCACGTGCATATCCGGGACTGTCCTCAAAGAGTTCGTGCGACAGGCGCACGAACACAATGCGTCCGATGCAACCCTGGTTGCTATCGACTGCCGTGCCGTGGGTGAGACCTCCGTCAAGGATGTTGCTGCAATAACCCGCCCTCGCAAAGGCTGGTGTGCCTGGGATGCACGGAAGCTCGCGTACCTAGACGGTCGGGACAAGGAAGAACTGAAAGTAGGGCAGGATGAGTGCGATGAGAAGCGCATCGTGTTGAAGTCGTTTTATAATTGGCAAACTGTGGACGCTGTTCGAGCTGCGCGGGAGCGGCATCGGCGAAATTCCCGGCGTGCTGGTAGCGGACCGTCAGATAATCTTGAGGACGTTGCCCCAACTTCGGGGCGCACGCGATGGTGGTCTCCCAGTAGTGGGAGGCGTTCACCTGACACCGAGGCCCTAGATGGGGTAGTCAGTGACCGAGGGGGATGTGTTATAACATAGGAGCCTTATACTTGTACGCTTTAATCTTTCTTGATCTGTTTTACAAAGCTGATTGTGCATTACCCACGTAACGAGCGTTCTTCGATGTATTACTGATATTTTTCCCTTTTGTTGTTGTTGTTGTTCACGAGTAGGTTAACTGTATCATTCCAGATCATGATGTGTAGAATGAGAGAAGGGTTTGGGAGATAGTGGTCCAATACGTGACTGGTGTTAACTTGACGACTTCTTCTCCTTCCGTCTTGCTTTCTTTCCTGCCTTTCGTTGTTGCGCCTCGCCGGCCGCTGATAAAGGAGTACATTGTCCTGACTGATCTGGTGTCTGGGTAGCCGAGACACTATCTGCTATGGGTAAGGCAGATGCGGGCGACTTCTTTTTCTGCTTCTTTGGTTTCTCAGACTTTGAGGAATGACTACGATCGTCATCTCCGTATCCTGCGAATGGATGGGTTCTAGCAGGACTACGAAAGAGGTCAAGGTCAAGACTTACCTGAGGCTGCGAAAGGATCTATCCGTTGTCGCTTCCGTCTCCCGCCTACTTGTTCTTCATGTTCTGGGACTTCTCTTTCAACCATTCGTGATTTCCCCTTGTCCTGTGGTGGCAGCAGTGACGCTTCTTCTTCCATCGCGTCGTCGTCGCCCGACACCTCAGCCTCAACGAATACTTCAAGATCCTCTTCCTCTTCACTTCCCAATTCCTTCAGGTTCTTCTCGTACTCTGCACGCTCCGCCATTTTACTGGTAATTTTTACTGGAACCCGTTCACTGCTACTAGAAGCAGGTCCATGTGCCGTATTGCTTGGTTCTTCAGCTTTTACTAGCTTTGCTTGGGCAATGGCGTGTTTAATAAACCTGCTAGCCGCTGCTTTATCAATACCAAGCCTCTCTAAAAATGGATATGATATTTAGCATGAGAATCAAAGTTAGGCAGAAAGGACCCTTGCTTTTCTCTTCGGAATCTTCTGCATTCTTGATTTTGTCAAAGTATTGTCGGACGCGATCCTGAAGCGAGCATCAGATGAGTTATAATTATGCCGCAAGAGACAGGCGCACCAGTTCACCGATGACAGGATGGGTCTTGGGATCAATTCCTCGTGTTTTCAGGTATACTGTAAGTGAGTGGCAGAATTAGACGAGCTAGCTAGCGTTCAACGATACATACGCACCGAATACAAGGTCGTATAGTACATATGGAAGGACCACTTGTAGTTTGGCTTGTTGGATGGTTTCGAGGGCTACAAGAGTCTCGGGAAGGCTCTTGGTGAATAGAGGGTCCAGCTGAGTCTCAAGCTCATCGAGAGATGCATTAAGTTTTGCCACTTTGGCGCGTAGTCTGTCCTCGTCGGAAGCCATGCTTTTAGATAGACCGTGAGTTTTTCTGCAGAACGTGAGCTAGCCAGACCAATTAAAAGTGTTTCTTCGACGCGTCCGAGGAATGATAGTCCGTGGTCCGTGGACATATCTCTTAGAGAAAAAAATAAATCAAATATCTAATTGTGAAATTATCAAAATTAACTCCTTTCCTCTCAACGATCATGGTGAGTTTCGCCGGCACCACAATCTAACCATTCTGACCGGTTTATGCTAGTCCTCTGAACTCAGGTATACCGCCAACACGCAATTGGAGCATTGTGAGCGCTGCTTCTAGTTCACTGTAATTTATTTGACCTTCTTTCAGTACACGCTCGTTACACAGGAACTGGTATGTTCCATTTTTAATATCTTAGTAGTTCGTTTCTGATATTCCTTCACGTCTTCAGGTCACGCAGACTTGACGAAATAGTACGCCAAGCATTTGAATCTGTACGACCTATTCTGAGCATGCAATAATAGTGACTGGGTCACACATCAACACAGAGATACGCTGTCTTCTATTGTAGGACACCCGTCCTTGCTTTCATATCTAGCTCTTGCAGACGGAGAAGCTATCGGCCGAACAAAGTTCGAGATGACAGAGGTATGTCAGGCTACTCTTAGTACTCGGATCATAATCTGATAAATATTCATTAGCGAATGCTGCAGCCCTGCGGGCCCCCTCCCAAGAAAGACGAAGATTGAACTTTCTGCGGTGCTCCTTTTGTCGTTCCTCCGTCAGGTACAGGGATTGTATTCATGCGGAGTCCCTTTCTGTCACGGGTTACATATCCGTTATTGGTGCTTACGATCTGACGACGTTCTAGTTTGTAAGAGATGTGTTCATAATTATGATGTCTCCTGCACTCAAGCAGGACCCGCTGTTATGCTGTCGAGATATCCCCATGCATTGTGAGCCCTGGCATGAGTTAACGGTGTGGACCCTTCAATTAAACTCACCAAAGGTAAGAGAGGACCCTTTACTGTCATTGAATGTGTCAAGCGGCTTCCGGTAGGAGACTTTCCGTTGTGGCTTCAGGAAAACGCTAAGCTTATCTGGGCAAGTCGACCAGGTACCTGTTGATTGAACAGGTTACTTCGGCGTCAAGTGCTACGAAAGTGACAGCATTGAGGGATGCTCTTGGTGATGCGGCGGGTATTCCCATAGTGAATTTGTCTCAACAGTCGTCACGTCCGCACCAACTGCTCGAGTTGGTAATTTAGAGACAACTAATTCTAGGATCGTGGAAGATGATCCTGGCTCCTTCCGTTATCTTGGAGTGATTATGGGGAAACATGTGATCTTGGGCCTTGGCAGGTAGTGTGTTTTAGTATTACGTCTGATCGAGGTGCTGCCTCCATATCACTTTGATCTCAAAGGAGGAATAATACAACCGCTGGGCGCAGAAACTGCCGTCACGGACGGAACGCGAGTATCCGCGAGGAGTTATTGCTGTACTAGGCATCGCTTTGGTAGTTGACGCTGAAATCAGCCTTGACAGGAACCTTGACTACATTGGTTTGATTATGATTTAGTGCGGGTTTACGCAGAAAATGAAAAGCAAAGAGTGGAAGTACATGAGTAGCAGTCGTGCTGGTCGTTGTGCCCGTTAAGCCCATGTCCTTGTTCTTGGAGCCTTTTCGGTAGTTTTCGATGAAGATAACCGGCGGAAGCTTACTTGATTTGGGATCGAGAAATTACTAAAATTGGATATTAGCTTTGAGTTGTCACAGCCATTGTTCCCTGATGAGATCAAGTTGTCGGAAATTTACTAGATACCCTACCGCACGGTCTCCGGCCAAGTGAACAAGGTACAGCTAATATGATTACATATTCTAGTCCGGGATTGATCAGCTCTTTAAAATTCCCCACCATCAATCCGCCGCGGTGCTCATTTGAATTTCTGTCAAGGACCACTATCCTGTCCTCCGACGACCACCACACCCAATCCGGTTCTTGCTCTGTCCTTAGAGACTGCGCTTTACCCTTCAACTCATTCCCTTTGTCCTCGCTGCTTTCTACAGTGGACAATTCCCTTCTAGCAGTCCACAAAGGCCTATGCTGGCCACAATCGTTTTGACTGGCCACAATCGCTGTCGTATTAATTCTGCTCCGGCCTACACATCATGGCTTCGGAAATTTCATCGCGACCGTTTCCTCCCTTTCAGCCTTGTTCTCTCGGCGAGTGTTCCTCGTCCGAAAGCTTAATTTTGACCCCGCGACCGTCATTCTACACCTTCTCAAACAGCTCTTACGCTCCGACCGGCTCTTGCAGTCGCCCCAGCTCCTCCAGCAGTATTGACTCTGGATACGCCAGCATCATGGGACCGCAGTCTGATGCAGATTCTATCCGAAAGCGCAGGTTTTTGGGAAAACACCTCACCCCTTCCGACGTAGACGTGGTCCTACCTCTCTCCCCCATCAATCGCGCCTTGTCATGGGATCCGTCCAAGCCCAGGAGGGCGTTTCTTCAGAAGAGAAAGAAGTCACCAAGTGACGCCTCAGAATCATTTTCTACGACTTCGTGCTACAGTGCGAGCACGAGTACTCTCCCGGATTCATCTAGTGACGGAGACGAAGATGTTGAATTCATGCAGGGACCGCACTCCCCTGCCAAAGCATTTCAGGCGAAGAATCACTTCGCCACAAGACGGGGCATGATCCATCATCCTTATCCTCCCCACCAAGCTCCTTACATGCAAGCCTACGACCGTACCCTTCTTGACAAGTGAGCATGTTGCTACGGTATTCCTGTGCTCGGGGCTGACAACCACCATCACAGCGATCGATTCTCAGATGTTCTCTTGCAACGTCTCAGCACCAATGGGACGCCGTCGTTTCTTACATTCAACGGTAACCCACCTACTACTATTCTTGATGTGGGATGCGGCGCAGGACATTGGGCCATTAGGGCTGCAAAGCATTGGCCGAAAGCAAGGATAATCGGTATTGACTTAATTGCTCCATCAAGCTTAAATGACGGCATTGCTGCGCCATCAAATGTAGAATGGAGGCAAATGAACTTGTGAGTACGCGCGTTTTTCACATGATCCTGCTTTACTTACTAATATTACTCAGCGTCGGGCACCGATTAGGCTTCCCTAGTGACACATTCGACCTTGTGCGGATGGCAAATCTGTCCCTGTGCATCCCTCTTGAGAGTTGGGAAGATGTTCTCATGGAAGTCATGAGAGTTTTGGCGCCCGGCGGGCGACTAGAATTGATTGATGATCAAGCCTTATTCCCAACCGTGAAACCTTTGGAACGCGTTCCAGCTTCGCCGGCCGCCGCCAGCGTCTCTCCTTCCCGCCCTCATTCGTACATCGACTTTGATGACAGCGACTCGGATGACGATGACGACTTCAAGAGCACACGGAGCTCCCTATCCGAAGACGAAGAAGAATCACCGCCATACGATGCTACATCAGAATGGACGAGACATGAGTCCAATGCGAAAGATCTGGAGGGTCTGTTCGTCGATATGCTCTGGAGCAAGTACAAAATCCGCACAGACCAACGAAGAAACATACAGGAAGTTCTGGATCATGTTTTCGGCCGATACAACGCCCAGAGAGTCGCGGCGATGACTCTCGCCATTGCACCTCCTGCACCAAATTCAGACTTGGGCTCAGGCTCTGGTTCAGATCCTGATCAAGCGTCGGTGTCGAGCACAGACAGCAAGAGCCTGAAGAAGAAGAAAGGGAAAGTCTTCAAGCAGTGGATTGCTGTTGAATGGGACAAGATCGAGAACAAGGGCAAAAAGGGCGACCGTTCCAGTGGAGAGAGCGTCCTGTCCCCCATACCACAATCCATTAGTGCCAAAGCAGCCGGCCGTCTAGGTATTCCCTCTTCTGCTGCTCCTTCCCCCACTTCACAATCGCCCCGACATTCAGTAAATCCCCCACCCTCACGTCCTGCTCAATCTCCCGGGTTGGTCCTGTGGCCTAACACGTTGATTGAACTGGGGCCTTTCGAGCTTGAGATGCACGCATGCAAGCACATGCAGAGTCTGCTCGGGTGCAAAGCTGCGCTGCATGAGTACGCGCAAGAATTCTTCCGTGACACCGACGGAAATGCCCTTTTAGATGAGGCAGTGTTAGATGATCTCATTTGGGACTATGAATGGTGAGTACCTTCAACTGAATATTTTTCTTCGAAATCTTATGTTCTGCCGATTTAAAGCTTCCGCCGCAAGCGTTTCAACTGGCCCTCAGTGACTCCCGAAATGGAAAAGTCTATTCATGATGAGCCCTCCGTCACTCCTAATCACAGACTTTCAACCGACGTACTCTCTATTCGCCCACGTCCTCGAGGATACTCAGACGCCAGTGTGAAACAACCCGAGTCATCATGTTATTCGAAAGACGAGCTCACTTTCGTGCGCTCCATCTACGTGTACACTGCCAGCAAGAATACCGCCGACGATATCATTTTATCATAGGAATACCATGTACAAAACTTCATTGTTCGCATTACCTGCATACCCTTCGGCACTTTATCCGACGCTTTCAACCCGGATCTCATCTATCCTTCGCTTTCCTCCTCCGCTCTGCTATTGATTATTGCTATTTGCCATATCACTGCTTCATCCTGCATCGCTGCACTCGAACAGTCACTCATTACTGTAACATGGTTATCACACGTACTAGATTGCATCGTATTATCCGGTACCTTATTGCATTTACACCAGCGGCATGGGCCCAATCCTTTGTACATGTACTATATCACCAATATTGTAGAAATTGGTCCATATGCATAGTTCATGTGGATTCGCAGCAATTAAAGGTTATATTTCCTCGAAAACGATGACCTCGGTACTCTCTTGAAAACCCTTGACCAGCTGCATCTCGTTGCCTTCGTTCGACTGGTCATGGATCGTACCCTGGCGTGCAGTCTCTTCACTGACTCCTGCAAAGCGTATTGACCCAGTGATCATGACCGGTTCCGAGCTCAACCGGCGAGAACAATGTTCCTTGAAGTTGATTACCACTCGGGTACCGACCATGGTTTCTAGAAGCATGATGAACGGGATAGATATATTTGCGCGCAGGGCCTGGTTGCGTGCAGGGAACAATGAGTAATAGTGAGTAATACATCAAAAAAAAAATTCAAAAAAAATCTCACAGAAGCATTCCGCCACAGGCCCATGACGATAGCGCACTTCGCCAGGTTTCTGGATGGGCCGATTGTTAGCCGGTGATTAAGAATGTATGTAAAAAAATGATACTAACATGAAAAAATACAAAATGCTGTCTCGCACAAGTATGCTCATGAATGAATTTATGCGTAAACTGGAGGTACCGGGGGTGGCCCTCCTTTCTCTCATGTTTTTGAGAGAAACTCTGATGGCCAAGAAGAAGAGCAATGTCTCGAAGCAAAGGATGGGTATGAATAAATAGACGAAGTCTGTGTTGATCCCGGTGAAGGAGCACAAGTGCTTCCCAGGAAAAGGCTCGACAATGACTAGTGATGTGGAGTGAACAAGTGTGACTCCACGTATCTTTGCAGTACGTACCAACAAATTTGCTTGTTGGACCATTGGTCGTCCAGATGATTACAATGACAGCAAGGATCTCACTGAAAAAAGATAAGAGCAATACCGTGAGTATCCACCTAGTCCGCCGGTACATAGCATATATTCGGAGTTGCATGATAGCTGTGCGGATGGTGTAAATGTCAAATGGTATATGTACAAATATGATTTACACTGAGTAAGCCATGAACACAGAAGGGTACCCCAACCTCGGACCTGGAAAAGCGGATAGCCTTGTGTATAAGTGAGACGCTGATCATTTGGAGTACGAAGTGGATGTACTTGCATCTGAAAAATGCGTGAAACCAATGCTATCAGCAAGAAGTACGAATAAAGCACGTTATAAATCATACTCCTGTAAACGACTTCGTAAGAAAACCGGAAGTCGTACATTTAGATAAACATGCTTACTTGTATTGATCCATCCTCAGTGAGGCACACTAGACCGTGTGAGAGTGAGAGCTTGTGACATAAATATTGACATACGATATACGCCAAGGCTAGGAACAGCATCAGACCACTGATGAGAGCTAAACATAAGGGCTTACATCACAACGGAATCGCCCACATAGCGGTCCTAACTAACATGAAAACTAAGAAAATTCCATCCTAATTGCACATACCAATAGATATAAGGCGGACACTAATGAAGGCGGCCTCTGCTGGACATCCATGAAATTAGCATATAACAAGTGAGCACCATTTTCAAGTTTGACTCACCCATATATAATCTATCTGAGTCCAGCAACGTCATTAAGTTTTGCTCGCCGACCATTGATCAATAGTGACTCACTTCACGAGCGAAGGTTAGTCCTGAATAGACGATGACTGAGTCAATGGCCATGAGACTCGATAGATTGCATACCGTGATCATACAAGACGGCAACGGCGACAGCAACTGAAAACCATATTTGGATCGAATCAGATTGGAAGTCTTGAATATAACCAGAACTAACCTTGCGCGTAAGAAAATGAATTAAGGTCGTGTGTTATTGTTGTCGCACTTGAGCTCATGTGTGCAATGCGCTCAGCTGCTTTCAGGAGTAGAGTAGTTTTGGGGCAAAGGTCATCAGAGTTGTTGGACGAGGCTTCACGGTGCTTATAGTTAGACTAGTAGTAGAAGCACACGCGTTTAAGGTAAAGACATTGATAACAAAAGGGGTGACGTTTAGCACCACAATGTTGATTAATGACAAAAGTTTGACAACGACTTACGTTGAGTTAGCATCGGTTCCGAAGGTTTATCAAGGCCAGAGCCCAGAACACCTGCATATAACCGCGGAACTGCTGCTACTGGAAATTAGCATGCGTCACCCCGTAAAACCAGAGTGAACCAAGTATCATTCCAGAATAACATCAGAAGTTCGTGGGTGGGGGAGAAGTACCGTTAACCGAGCATGTTTATCTCAGGGTGCCTCAGCGTGAGGTGGCCGCCCGGGTTGCTCATAGTTATAGCGGCCATAAGCCTGTCATGACATTGTTGTAACGTGTAACTTAACATAATACTTCAGTAGTGTCAGTGGTTGTGTATTCTTATTTATAACTTTACTGTTAGTACTGCTTAAAGCTGATTAAGCAATCATGATATGTTGTTGGCCACTATCCAGCCACTCCGGGATACATGTTACAAACTTTCGTGAAATCATTCACTCACTTGAAAGACCGTCCACATGCAGATCGAGCCTTGCCCATGCTTCAACGGGTAGCAACCCTGGTAAAGCCTATCATGAGGGAGCACGGCTGGGTCTTGCCGTTATTATCTGAATTTTTCCCCGAAAGCCCTAATTTAGTCGGTAAGTTCCTTCCAGCATCACCTGAGACTTCTTCATAGGGTCACCCATCATGCAGGGTTGAGTGAGCGTCGGACACATCAGTTGTTCATTGCACTTGCTGACACACATTCAGATGTAAACGGAGGACAGCAGATTCTTCTGAGATTACGCCTTCCATGGGCTCCCGACACCTTTTATGAGGAAGATCAAGTTGTTCGGGTCATGCTCCATGAGGTAAGAAAGTCTTTGAAACGGCGTATTCAAGCTACCGATATTACTTCAATATAGCTTACTCATAATGTCCATGGCCCTCACGACGAAATTTTTTACAAGTTTCTAGCTGCACTTGAAGACGAGTATGATGCACTAGTGCGCTCTGGCTACGCTGGTGAAGGCTTCTTTTCTCCTGGCCACAGACTGGGCGCAGGGGTATCGTACGATCTTCCGCCACACTTAGCTAGACTCAAAGCTCTTGAAGCTGCCGAAGAGAGGCGTCGTGCCAATGACGTTCTCGGCGGCGGCGGCAGACTAGGTGGTCTCAGAATCACTGCACTGCAAGGCATGGATCCTCGTGAACTGGCCGCACAGGTCCTTCTTTGTGTTTCCCGTCTTCTGAAAATATACGTTAACACTACCTTTCACAGGCTGCCGAGCGCAGAAAGCGTGATGAGATCGAGTGTGGGTCGGGTATACTTGCCCAGCGCGAAGCCGAGAGGGCGGCCAGGGAAAGCATCGAAGACATCATTGATCTTACCGATGATTCCCCTCTAGAACCGTGGCCTTGTCCTGTGTGCACACTTCACAATGAGCCGATTGTGCTGCAGTGCGCAGCATGCTTCACCGTCCGTCCTTTCACCTCGCGTAGTACTGCGAGTCAATCACGTGTTGTTATCGGACCATCGAGGCCACATGGTAGTACTTCCGGATTAATTTCTGATGCCCCAAAACAGTCTAGGGTCGTTGCAGTGAGGCAGCCAGGCAGTGCCAAGGATCCCACGCCTCCTCGCAAACCAGCCGAGACCCCAGCTGGTGGTGAGCAATGGGCTTGTGTGGTTTGCACGCTCGTCAATGACCAACAAGCACACCAATGTACCTTGTGTTTAACAGGGCGTCCTCAAGATCCTCTTATGGGATGGACTTGTAAGACGTGTGGTGAGGCTGAAATACCCCACCAGTTTTGGTCATGTCGATTTTGCGGCGCGATCAAGACAGAGAGCACTTACGGTTAAGGGATTTTGTTTCCTCACATCTCAGGAGCCTCAGGGCAATCTTGTGACTGTGATGTTACGCTTCACTTTGACAGTTTTCTCATGTATTATTATTTTGGGCTGTGCCCTGTGTAGATTTTTTATCGAACGATGGAGTAATAAAGTGTTTGCTTGCAATGCTGCGAGACTCGCAATTAGTTTGCCGATCGAAGGTGATCATGACATGTTCATTGGAGATAATCATGGAATTATTATTTTTACTCAGTTCAGCTACCTGCGTCTGGATCGTGGGTTTCGAAGTTCCTGTCGAAGTCCATTTTGATTGGACCATTAAAATTTCTTGCTCCGTAGACTTACATCTAGTTCGATGCCATTCGAAGAGAAGCACCATTTATACAAGAGCTGTTATTAATCATCACCGAATATAACTTTCAGATTCTCGAGGCTCTCCGGGTCTGCTTTGCCCGATTTATCGCTCCCTCGGAATGCCTCTTTGACGATGGCGGTCTTGCGTTTTTGGATCTGGAGTATGCGGCCTTCGATGGTGTGATCGACCTCGGAGAAGGTTTAATGGATATGGTGAACAGAAATCAAGACGAGCTCACTATAAAGTGTTTGACATAGACAGTTTTCTCTTGGCCTATTCGGTGCACGCGATCGATGGCTGTCACCAAAATCAGTACGGTCAACTATAGACGGATACCCGGACACCAACCTTGATTTTCAGTTGCCGCGTTCCACCAGCAGTCCATCTGAGCAATATTCATCAGTGGCACGGAGCGACAAGTTCCGGGGACTAACCATGAAAACGTGGTTGGCGCTCGTCAGCTATCGTTTGAAGTAACGTTCAGGAGATTCAAGAGGCAGGTGACTTGCGCTTACGTTCAGACCAACGCCACCTGCTTTCAAGCTGACAATGAGAACCTTGGGTTTCCGCTCGTTCTGCTTGAATTCTGATATGGCAGCATTGCGCTTCTTGAGGTCCATTGATCCATCAAAACGGTACCACGACAGGCGTTCACGGTCCAGTGCCACAGAGATAAGCGAAAGGAAGGACGTAAACTGCGAGAAGACGACAGCGCGGAAGTATGGGTCTTGATCTCGAATTCGTCCTGGAACCAACTTAGCTCAGAGTTGGAATGGACTATGCAAAAGAACACCTACTGAGGTTTTGTACCAGCGCATCCAGTTTCGTGGATGATCTAAAATCATTTCGGCGCAGGAAGACTTCTGACGTCGACGTCCCTTCTTTTTCGTCCCCTGTGGACTCCTGGTGTGGGCTATCTTGACCAGACGATCGGAGAACCTCAATGAGATCTTGCTCCTTGACTGGTCCATGTGAGCACGTCGGGCATCGTGGCACCTCTCCCTTGTCCGTGCATGTCGCAAGATATGATATAATGCATTCTTTACAACTGTGTTATAACGTTAGCATTGGTAGATGAAACGGACAGTATTATGCGCACCATTGATGCATACAGGGAGGGATGATGGACGGTGTCTGCATCACATCAAGGCAGATCGGGCATTCTGCATCATTGGACATGTTAAGGTTGGCTAAAACACTCTCAGCATAGGCCGCTTTCGAGCTACTCCCCGAATCACGCTCTGAGATGTCATTCATCAGGGTGTCCACGTCGATCGCTCCATCTTTGGAGTGTCCAGAAGGTTTAGTCTCTATCCCATCGCTAGTATCAGTGACCAGATCTGGATGAAGCACTGCCCGGCGCAGTCTTGAAAAAGAGGTAAGATTAAGATACGTCAGGCATCGAACATCTTACCTCATAATCATAGCAAGAATGTGGGTGTAGTTTTTGCCTACAAGCCCTTTCGCGTTGAGCTGATCGAAGTTCCGCTTTGCCGCATTGTAAATAGAGTCGTATATCTTTTGTTCTGCAGGTGTAAAGTGCAGTGTATCGACAGTGACCTCCTTCGCAGGTAATTCGACGATGCGTTTGCCAGAATTATCACGCATGTTCTTCTCGCGTCGGAGAAGGACACTCTCAAGGATTACTTGCACTATTTCTATTGCCTTGGGATCGCGAGCAAGGAATGGCACAGTAATGAAGCTGAAAAATGGCTTCAGTCTTAAGAAGAATGAAAATTCACGAGAAGGATAGACACATACGAGCGGAAGAATGAGTACGATGACCACGGTGTATACTCCAGGAATTGACTGATACGAGATCAGTTAAACTATTGTATATGTACACTTTTGTTACTCACAGAAGCGAATGAAGGTCCTCCAGTTTATTGACAATGGGAGTTCCTGATCGTAATTTAGCATCTGGATTATGAGAGACACCAGTGTAGTCACCTGTTACGGCCCATCTACGTCTAGCACGAAGAGCATACACAGCTCGTGCGGTCTTACTTGTCCTGGACTTGCAGTGATGAGCTTCGTCCAAAATGACTCGCAGCCACTTCACTTCACAAGCCGTTAATCGAGGGATTTTTGTTGATCCCTGAGACATACCTTGGAAAATAGAAGATTGACCACCAGACTTGAGCAGTTTGGAGTGTTCGGAGGCAAGTACGCCGTAGGATGTAATAATCACGGTGATAGACGCATCATCCATCGAATTATCTTCTATACCATCCAGGTCCAGCCTATTCTGTCCGTGCCAGACACTGACTCTGAGGGTCCCTGGTGCACTCGACCGCTGGAGTTCCTCGTGCCACTGGGAGAGCAGTGAGGTAGGAGCAACAATCAATGTTGCAGAAGGGCCTTCGGTAGGCTTCTTTGTTTGCCTGAGAGCTCTTGACCGAAAGGCATTGTCAAGTTTCAGCTGACGAATGCGTGCAAGATCCCTGGAAGTATCCTCAGGAAGAATAGGTTCCGGATCTCGGTTTGTATGAATGAGAGCAGATAACATGATGGTTTTTCCCATTCCCACTGAGATGTATGAATCAGCTCTGATCACTGCACAAAGGTTACAGGGACGCACTCTCTGCGTGGTGTGCCATATTGAAAGGTTGTTGTTTATGAGTAAGGTAATGTCAGATGAGAACTGCACCTTACCATCACTGGCAGGGAATAAGTATTTAGTAATCAACGAATGTTTGCTACTTACGCGAGGATCCCTCCTTTGAGTTTGCGTTCGGCCTTAGGAAAGTCAAGACTGAGTTCTCCAGAGTAAGGGTTGAAGTAGAACGGCTTCTCGTCTGCAGTCAGATCGATTATACCATCTCGAGGTTCGGCAGGGAAAGCATACCTATAAGAACAGTTGATCGCTGTTCCTATAGCATGTTTTGGGGACTTACTCGCTCCATAGAGGGTGCATAGACACAGCTTCTCTAGCAGACATTTCGCCTGATTCCTTTGAATGCATCCACCTTGTATGAGTCAGTAGGGGAGAATTAGAAATTCGATGATATTCCGGCCCACATAAGCGCTTGTTTCTGGTATCCCCTTAGTGTTAATGTAAAGGTGCCAGGAGGATCCATCTCAGCCATCGATTGATCATGCTTCTGGGCTCTAGAAAACTGTCAATATGATAGCCTGACGTCACAAAATGATACCCGCTTCTTGTAGATGACATCCAACTCGCTGTCAGATAACTCCTCGCCTTCTTCTATTTCTACTTCCTCGCCGTCGCCAACAATTTCAATTCTCTTTTTCTTGGCATCGCCGGGATGTTGCGTCAGTTTATTGTTCATGCCGTCAGATCCATTTTCCATGTTGTCATTATCTTGGACGCGGGCTCCCCTACAAGGGCGGAGGTTAACAGCATCGAAGAGAGAGAGTAGCGCAGATTTGCGTTCTCTGAGAGTTTGTTCATCTTGTGTCTCTTGTCCCTGATTGAACATCGCCTTCGGTGCCCCCTCCGCGGAAGTACTCGGTGGTTTGAATGCAGATGCACGGACATATACAGACAATGAGACTATCAGGTCTGCACCAGAATATAGAGTGGCCGGGCAGTCCACCACTGTACTGCCCTTGAAGTCGACGATCCCTGGACGCCGTGGTAAATGCAAGGCTAATTCAGATGGAAGATAAAGTACCGAAGTCAAGAAGCCTTGAAACCCAAGATGAAACATGCTGTGGAAGACGGCCAAACTCTGGTTGAAATATGTGAGCACCCTTACATCATTTGCAGATGATACTCACCGAAACCACGGTCATTTGTAAGGCGAACTACGGTGTCAGCTTTCTTCGTCGTTTTGGGTGGCTGCGATTTCAGCATAGCACCGAGGGTGAGTTGCTTCTTTTTACCATTACCGGGAAGGACTTTCTTCTTTCCTTTGCCGGAAACCGGTAGGCCAGATTTAAAATCATCAGGATCATCCCGTTCAATGTGAATGGTGCCGCCTGGTTTGATATAACCTTTGCCTCTGACAGTACTCCACGCATTTCCAACAAGGAATGATCCAAGATATGCAGAATGACCAGACGATCCTTGTCCAGTACGCACCTGAACCTTAGAAGGAGGTGAGAGTCGCCTCTTTTTGACCGGTGGTTCTTCACGAGAAGGACCTGGCACCGGCGAGGAACTTCTGAGAGAGGGCCCTGATGACATACTACTGACGCTGGAAGCTCGAGGAACCTCTTCAAATGAGGGTATCTCCAGGTCGCTTTCGCTGTCATTGCCATTCATGATCAATTCTGAATTAATCGCAATTGGCCTTGGAGTTTGGAAACGTGGAATATCTTCATCATCACTATCGGCAAAGAACAGACGCTTCTCTTGCGGGGAGTGGGGCGGACCCAATGGGGGAGCTAGTTGGTGAGATGCTGACTGCACTGATACGCCAATCTGACTCGGAACCGTCACGGTTGTGGACTTCGCATCATCTTCCTCATCGTCAGGATCTGCGAAAAAAAGACCATCACGAGGTCGAAAGTCGTGGGTCATGAAAGTTCTTTTGTATAGAAGACGAGAGACTGCGCTGCTGGGGGATGATAGATCCGACGCGCCAACACAAGTCAAATATGAGACGCGTCCGATTTGTTTGGCTGTGTTACTATGTACTAGCTCTCAGGCTCTTGCCGTTCAATTTAGACTCGGACCACGTCGTCGCATCCACTGTACTCAACGGCTTGTCAAACGGCAGTACTTTGGCTCTCAAGCGCTTAATGTTTAACCGTGCCAACACATCCAGTTTCACTATTTCGCTAGTGACACGCCCATTGGAGTTGCCGTGGTCGATGCAATGAATAGGCTCAAAGAACGATCGACACCAGCCCTTACTATGTAAAATGGAAGGAATTCAATATGTGCTAAGACTGGAGATCGTTACTAGTACACCATTGGAAGTCGTAGTTCGTGCGCTACGGGATCTTCGCCCTCCCTACTAGTAGGTATGGTACGTTAATCACCTCACTATTTGTCCAACATACAATATACCTTTAATGAACCAAACGCGTCCTCAACAATCCAGTACCGTACAGCTAACTCATCGTATGCCACGGCCTCGGCTGACTCCAGTGCACACATGTCAATGGTCCCGATTCCTTTCTGGTACTTTCCTGAATTATACTGTTATCTGCTCTCAACTATATTTGCCTATAGCGTTCACCCAACATCAGTGATTTTATGTCCGCTCAGGGCCCAGCCATTCTTTGCAAGATGGCTTGCAAGATATTCGTACTTGAGCGTGGACGATCACTTAGTCCCCTGCTTCCTTTGATGCGACGAGGCGCTTATGATTCAAATTGCATCGCGTCTACAACCAACTATAACCTCGTGGTTCTATATTTATACCGATGACATTAATTATAGCCTCCGTTTTCAAATTAATTGCACCTGCGGAATCACAGCAACACCTGATAGCGGTCCAGAAGGTGTCACCTGAGCTCAGCAGCCATCATGGTTCAACGGATAATGTTCATGTGCCTATACAGACACTTGATAGCTCCAAGCTACGTCACCGCAATGCGGTCCAATGAATCAAATTACAACAATAACATACTGTCGGATTGCAGTATGTTTTTAGCTGCGGAGGTATAATTAGATTCGACTCATCAGTTTGTCGGGTGTTCATGCTACATAGTAACAGGTGGTCTGACGCGGGAGGAAGCAGCTACTCGCGCTCTTGAAAAATTGTTGTAAGCCAACCTTTTACTTACAGAGCTCATTCAATCTGACGTTACTTACTGGGCAACTACTATGCAACGTTGCTGCGGCACCAAAGATCTCCGCTTATAAACAGATCCATCTCCATACCAGTCTTGAACTCGGCAACTGTCAAATTTATCGCTACAGTGCCTGGGGCCAAGTCTTGAAGATCTGTGGTCGGTCGTGGCCCGTGGGTATTTTGACACCTCTGCCGAGGGTTAATGTTCTACTACCGGTATCGCTTGGCTAGTGATTTGATCATATTGCATTATACAAGGCGGTCCGTCGTGTCCTGCATGCCCAAAATAGGTCCGAAGGCAGTAACTGTAACTGACATGACAGCATAGTAGCTGCCTCTCGAACCATCAATGCTTATTCAGGTGATCCGTTGCAACGCCCCCGACCAACGACATCCACAAAACGTGCGGAAGACATGAAAGCGCATTCAGGTACTCCGGTCAGCCGCCAAGTCCCTTTTGGACTACCCAGCTTCGAAGAGCTCGTATCGCTGACGGAGAGTGCCTTTGACAGGTAATCAAATTTTCCATTCTACAAAGTCCGTAGTGCATTCGAGTTGATCGGTGGAGACCTATAGCTGGGAACCTGCTGGGACGTACCAGTACAGGGGATTACTGCCTCGTAGTCAATTATTTCGATCCACGAATCGGAAGTTATACAGACCGACTCTCTGATCCAGAGGGCGATACCAGGAGCACTACTTAAGCTGAAGGATTCAATGTATTTCGCTCATCCTCCTCCTCCTATTGACTCGAGTTTCGAGTCATGTTCCAACTCTATGTACTCATATGCCTTCTGGCATGCCTCCAGGGTCGTGCCGTGACTATTGGCCCAGTTTCTGACCTCGTCATTGCCAATGGCATTGTATCCCCAGACGGGTTCACCAGATCGTCAGTGTTTGCTTAATTTTCGACCTATTTGATTACTGAATCCATTACAGAGGGGTTCTTGCCGGTGGCACTCATCCCGGGCCCACTATTGTAGCTCAGAAGGTAGCATCGACTTTGCATGCGCAAACTCTTGGTTGACCTCACGTGTATTTAGGGAGATACGTTCAAGATCAACGTCACGAACCAATTGACTAACGATTCGATGCTAACGAGTACAAGTATTGTGAGTACCAGCCGATAAATGCATATAGGAGCTTACGATGATGTCCGTTGCAAACAGCACTGGCATGGACTATTCCAACACCATAGCAACCAAATGGACGGCGTGTCATTTGTTACTCAATGTCCGATCGCTCCGGGACACTCTTTTTTGTATGACTTCAATGCTACCGACCAAGTGGGAACGTACTGGTACCACTCTCATTATGGAGTACGTACTTCGATGTATTCATGATGTCGGAAACTGATTCTAATTTAGGAGCAATACTGCGATGGTCTACGAGGTCCGCTGATCATCTACAATCCCAACGACCCATACAGTTCATTGTATGATATCGATGACGGTGAGTGCGTTCGACGAAACGGAGTTGCGTTTCTGACATTTGAATGAAGAATCTAGCATTATCACATTGATGGACTGGTAAGAAAAGAAAAGGCTGATACATCTTTTTGTTATTAATTCGACTTGCTTTGTAGGTATAACTTGCCATCGCCTCTAGTGCAGAGACAAGTAATTGCCGACTCGGTGCTTATCAATGGTGTCGGGCGTTATGATGGAGGGCCAGATGTGCCTTTCGCCGTCATCGACGTTCAGCCAGGAAAGCGATATCGTTTTCGCTTGCTGAACATGGCGTGCAAGCCCAACTACATTTTCTCGATCGACAGCCACAATCTTACCATCATCGAAGTCGATGGCCAATACGTCGAGCCGCTCGTAGTGGACTCTATCCAGATCTACGCTGCGCAACGATACTCCTTCATTCTCGAGACAAACCAGCCTGTCGACAATTATTGGGTGCATGCCGATCCCGATGCGGGTACAAATGCCACGGCTATCTTTCGATATGCAGGCGCTCCCGATGCAGACCCCCAGAACATGACAAACTCGGACTGGGATGCTCTGAATGAGACTAGCCTACACCCCCTAACTCCGCCTTCGCCTCGTTTACTGCAGGAACCAGACGTCAAACTTGACCTTGTTCTTGGGAAAAATCTGTCCAATTTCAACTTCCTCATCAATAACGTCCAGTACACTTCTCCTAGTATCCCTGTCCTACTACAGTTACTGAGCGGTGCTATGACGGCTGCGGATCTTGCGCCCAACGGCTCCGTATACACTCTGCCACGGAATAAGGTTATCGAACTTACGTTCAATCCCGATAACTCCCCTGGGGGTCCTGTGAGTCCATTTCAAAATGACGTGTATGTCCTTGACTGACATGTCTTTACAGCATCCGTTCCATCTTCATGGGGTACGTCTTGGCGTGTCATCTACATACACTCGATGGACTAATAATAATTTGGTTTGTAGCATAGTTTCGCTGTTATCAGGAGTGCTGGAAGTACCGCTTATAACTACGTCGACCCCGTCATGCGCGATACAGTGACCACTGGCAACACTGGTGATCGCGTAACTATCCGATTCATCACCGATAACCCTGGGCCTTGGCTGTTGCATTGGTAAGTGTTATATCTATGTCTTTTTAGCTGGTAATGACTTTTTGTCTTTGTAAAGCCATATCGATTGGCATCTATCCGCGTGAGTTACTTCTTTCACTGACCCTAGACTCGAATTAATCATTGGATTCGTAGCGGACTAGCTATAGTATTCGCAGAGGCTCCTGAAGATGTGGCGGCTTCGCAACCTCTCAATAGTAAGCACCGAGCACTGTAAACTAAACCGTGTCTGACGATCAGCATTAGATGCTTCGAAGCAGCTCTGTCCGATATACAATAGCATTCCTCAGCAAAATTTCCCTCTCCCTCCCGTTGATTGATATTTTTAGTTTTTATACCTCCATTTTTTCCAGAGAGCATCAAACAGGACATTTTCAAATACGATTTGTAGATTCGTAATAGGTCGGACACGATAAATAGTAAATAGCCCTCGTTCTTAATCATGATGTAGAAGTGATGTCCGAGCTGATCGACAATCATTCGTGCCGTTCGTCCGTGTCATCAGCACTTAGCCACAAGTGTATGCACCCCGTATCTTGTGTTCCACATGGAGAGAGATGCGTTCAACCGCACCGCATAGAGGTACCAGAATAACATCATTTATTTTTGATGGTCGGCGATCCTTAGCGTTGCCTTAGCGTACAACCTCGTATGGTAGTCAGCAGTAGGAAGACGTGCTGCATGTGACCGCATTCTGAATCTAAATTTAGACTTAGCTCAGTCAGTAAAGTGCAACAGTGAACACGTCACTGTCAACAAATACTTGTGCAAGACACTAAGCTTATTGATTGAGTCCGTACTCGATTACCTACTCTCATGCGAGCTAGGCTGCATCCTGATACTGTAGCTATATGATGTATGAAACTCAGTACCACGCCTTCTCGCAACCCTTTCCTGATTCGAAAGCTGAACAAACAGCAATAAGACTTCATAGTAGTAATGCAAGAGGAAAAAACCAGTACCTCTCTCGGATATATTGCTTAGTTGTAGCGCTTCTCGTCCTTGAGACGGTAAACAAAAGCCTCTGGTGACAGGTGTTATACATAGTGATCCAGCAGGCCTGTAATGACTTACTTCTCTTGTGAACATCATTGTGGTTGGCTTCGCCGCTTGCATCAGAATCGAGGGAACGACGAGGCGACATGAGTGTATCAGGTTTATCAGGTGTAAGCGCTTTGTGTACTCCGTCACGTGACGTTGGTGTGAGCTCCGATTCTAGTACCTTCGGCATTTTAAGCACCGAATAATCCCAATCAATTACAACAGGCTCCTGGCGCCCAGCCAGAGCTGCATAGCATCTCCGAGTCAGCATCACTCTCATCAGCAAGAATGGCACGAGTCCTCTCACAAGTAGGTGTTTCATTGTGGTCAGCTTCGCCGCTTGCAACAGAATTGAGGGAGCGACGAGACGACGCGGGTGTATCTCCAAAGTCGACCGAGTCAGGTGTATCAAGTTTGATGGCACTAGCAATATTAATGAGCCCATAATCATAATCAATTGTGCTAGGATTAAGCTCCTGGGGCTTATCCAGAGCTGCATAGCATCTCCGAGTCAGCGTCACTCTCATCAACAAGAATAGCACAGGCCCTCTCACAAATACGTGCTTTGACCAATTTTGGTGTCGGATGTGACGCAGCAATAGCAGCAAATGTAACGAGTGTGGTGAAGATGAGTGTGAGTTGCATGGTTGGAAACGACAGTGGGTATTTGGGTGCTATGGACCTCTAGTCAAAATCGCGAGGGCTTTCAAGTTTTATTTGCCATAAACTAAAATGCAATATCGTAAGAACCACCTAGGTTCATCGGATACCTTCTAATTTGACGCTTACTAGATGTCCACGGGAGTTCGCGCATTTTTGGCAAAACGGTTATTACTCCACATCGCACAAACAAATAAAATTAATTCTTTGACAGTTCGATAGCGTGACATCGAAAGTACAACGTCTGCTAGTTTCTTTTTCGAAAATCGACGTGTTGAGTCCAGCAGAGAGTTACCGCGCAGAAAAGTGCAATTTTCCCTAGAGTTCGCGCACTTCGTCACACTATGTCACACGTCTGCCGCAATGCCTTTTCACGCTCCGCAGAGTCCGCACCGTTTGAGTATTGTGAAGTTGTGCATGGTGTAAAGCATTCCGGCATTGCGGAGTTTTGATTACACAGTCTCTATGTAACGCTTTGGGCAGATTGTCACGTTTGGGGCTTATTTCTTCATCGCAGATGATCCTGACAAGCATGTGCCCCGGATAAATTTGTTTTAGTATTCTCTAATCATGTATAACCATCTCACAATATTCCAGAATTATATGTGGAGATCTGACCTTTAGAGCGAGCCTTCTATGCCTCTCGCACTGATAAGTTGTCCATGGAACAAGATCTACTTCGATTTTCTTCAAAAAAAAAATATGGCAGTGTGTATTATGTTTGGGCGAATCCAGATCTATCATGGATAAGGATTCCGTGTAGAATTGCGTGTGCTAGAGTCAATGCGCGGACTCTTGGGACACACGGACTCGTGGGACCATCTAGTACCGGACATGTTATATTTCGGATCCGTGGCTGGCTAAGACGAACTTTACGTAGTTAGAACCAGTGGTACCTAGGTTCATCGGATGCCTTCCGACTTGACGCTTACCGGACGGATCCGTGGCTGGCTACTAAGACAAACTTCAGCTGCCATTACCACTCCGAAATTGTTCGGCTCCTACATCGGAGAGCCCGGGTCTCTTAGACCATGTACAGTGTGTTGCATATCAAGCTGCAGCACGAGTTTTTTCAAAAATTGAGTGATGTGTGACCTGTTAGCATTCCGAAGTAGTAGAGCTGATCGCGGCGAAGTAGATCGGCTCGCAACAAGGTGGGAAACTTCATGAGTCCCTGAACTTGCCCTGAACGCATTAATTAGCATCAGTGAAGACCTACTACTACTTGACCTTGTTCTTAGGAAAAATCTATCCAATTTCAACTTCCTCATCAATAACGTCCAGTACATTTCTCCTAGTGTCCCTGTCCTATTACAGTTACTGAGCGGTGCTGTGACGGCGGCGGATCTTGCGCCCAACGGCTCCGTATATACTCTGCCACGGAATAAGGTTATCGAACTTACGTTCAATCCTGATAATTCTCCTGGCCAGGGTCCTATGAGTCCATTTCAAAATGACGTGTATGTCCTTGACTGACATGTCTTCACATCCGTTCCATCTTCATGGGGTACGTTTTGGCGTGTCATCTACATACACTCGATGGACTAATCATAATTGGTTTGTAGCACAGTTTTGCTGTTATCAGGAGTGCTGGAAGTACCGCGTCGACCCCGTTATGCGCGATACAGTGACCACTGGCAACACCGGTGACAGTGTAGCTATCCGGTTCATCACCGACAACCCTGGACCTTGGCTGTTGCATTGGTAAGTGTTATGTTTAGCTGGTAATGACTTTCGTTCTTTGTGAAGCCATATCGATTGGCATCTATCTGCGTGAGTTACTTCTTTCACTGAGCCTGGACTCGAATTGATCATTGGATCCGTAGCGGACTGGCTATTGTATTCGCAGAGGCTCCTGAAGATGTTGCGACTTCGCAGCCTTTCAACAGTAAGCACCGAGCACTATGAACCAAACCGGGTCTGACTATCAACGTTAGATGCTTCGAGGCAGCTCTGTCCGATATACAATAGCATTCCTCAGCAGAATTTCCCTCTCCAGGCTCTCCCTCCCGCGTTGATTGATATTTCTGGTTGATGCCTTCATTTGTTCTAGGGAACTGTCTATACTTGCAACTCTGAAAGGGCCGCGGGTTGCTATGTCAAATTGAAAGTGCACACCTAAGGTAAGTTAACGCTCCTATATACTGCGGTCCTCAGATAGTGAGTGCTTTTCTGATTGGCAGGCGTAATCACTAAATATAGAAGCAACTATTTTTGGCATCATTTTACGGTATGAGCTCTCTGCCACTCGGGGCAGTGGGGTAACATGCAAAAGGAAGGCGAAGGCCGGCGCCCAGGGCCCAAGGAGCTGGAATGGGCCTGCAGTATCGGATGGTGTGTTTGATCCGTTAGTCATTGCGGAAATTCCCGCAGCGCTGAAGCCTGAGAGTGGGAGTCGGCATATGAATGTGAGTGCAGGAAACCAAATTTGAGGCAGCAGCTTTGTGAAGATTTTTGGGACAAGTGACGGAAAAGGCAGTTAAGGAATGTGTGAATTTACTGATTTTGATTTTGACATGTCTACTGATGGCCAAATATAAAATTCAAAGTTCAAAATCTTCACTGCTAAAACTTCAAAGCACGCGTTCATCCTCTGACTCAGAGCCAGCAAAGACATATTTCACTGTCTCATGGTACTGAAACACAGCTACGACTATCTGCGAAAGCTAGGCAACCCTGAGAAGTGCGCAAAGAAGTCAAGAACCAGAACGCTTATTCTGCTGACAGCAGAGGTATGGTAAAGGTTACGGTGGGCTGCTGTTACTTGTACCACGCCTGTCCCGCATGAGGCCCATGACTTGATGTCGACCTAGCCTTCTCACGTTCTCGTTGATGTCCAGTTGTTCGACCCTGGCTGATTGACCACGCACGTCAGATTCAGACAGCCTAGTGTCCGCAGTTTGCTTGTAAGTCGAGATAAATTTCAGTGATCTCTTGGTTCAATTTCCGTTTGGATCGTAGAGAGGCTCCACCATATGTATGGCATCAGGAAGTCTCGGTCGTTACGATCACCTAAGGTGGATACTGAGAGTGCTTCCTGGTGATTCCCGGTCGACTATCAATCTCTTTTATACTGCGTGGCCAATAGCTCAGGCTCATTCGAAATCGCCCACTTGCAACAGTGCAATATGGCAGCTCCGAGCGCTTCAGCGATTTCAAAGTTGCACCCGCAACCAGGTGCAGATGAGGCGACTCTCGCCAAGCTAGGATATAAGCAGGAATTTCGCAGGGAGTTCACTCCGCTGGAGGTGAGTTTGATTTCAGACTCTTTCATGTACGTGACACAAGCTAACAATTGCAGGTGGCTGGACTTGCATTCAGCTTCGTTGGAGTAGTTCCTTCTATAGCGTAAGCTGTCACTATGGCACAAGCCAATCGAAATTGTATATCAATGACGAAAAATTGTTCAGCTCCGTGCTCTTCTATACAATACCAAACGGTGGACCTGTCGCGATGGTTTGGGGTGTAAGCTTTCATCACACGTGGAGATTGCTGTTTTGTAACGTCTCACCTTTCCTCTGCGCAGTGGGTATTTGCTTGCCCCTTTATTCTGTGCACCGGGTTGGCGTTGGCAGAGCTCGCATCAGCAGCACCTACCTCTGGCGGCGTATGTTATCGACGCTGTCGCTGTTTCACACTTGACTGAACACAATCTAGCTATACTATTGGACTTACTCTCTCGCTTCCCCACGATGCCGCAATTTTCTGTCTTGGATAGTTGGCTGTAAGTCCTGCATTTTGATGCGACATGCAGCCAGTCCTGACATCTGCAGATTCGAATACCATAGAGATGATCACAGCAGTTGGTAAGACGGGTTTCATTTTTCAACAGTCTCCCCCTGATCACGCGTGCTAGCTTCCGTAAACTGGGCCTGTGCAATTCAAATTACTGCAGCAATCAGGATTGCCTCCTCTGACCAGACATATACGACTACCAACCAGCAGCTCTAGTAAGCTCATTCCTATACAGACACGACACTCTTCATACTGGTTGTTATAGTGGTATATACGCAGCTTTGGGTTTGTCACAAGCTGTCCTTGTGAGCCTCGGTACCAAAGTTTTGGCAAGGTTGCAGAGACTATTCACGTTGGTGAATGCAGCGTAGGTGTTGTAGAGTTCGTCCACGATCATTGTTTCAAATCCTCCAATAGCCTTTGCTTCATAATCATCATCGCGCTTCCGATCGCAACGCCACCGGTTTATCGAAACAACGCAAATTTTGCACTAGGGGAATTCACTAACTGTATGTATCATCGTCAAATTACGCTCGCAGCTCACAATCAGTTGTAGTGGCCGGCTGGCCCTCTGGATTCGCATTTATTTTGAGCTTAATGGCTCCTCTTTATACAATAGGTTAGACCATATTCTTTCGAATGATTTCTCCATGACCATCTTTAACCCACCAGGGGGTTATGATGCTAGCGTTCACATGAGCGAGGAGGCCTCGAATGCCGCTATGGCGATACCATGGGCAATAGTAAGTGACACTAGAAATGATCAATTGCTGTATTTATCTCAGTCAGGTCAGTTCCATTATTGTATCAGCCTTCCTTGGTTTGGGTATGTGGAATGATACGTCACTCTGATCTTGATGACTTATTCTAATCTAGGAGTCAACATCTCCCTTGCCTTTTGCATGGGCACTGATATCGGCAGCCTCTTCAATAGCCCTATTGGTCAGCCTATGGCACAAATCTTATTCAATTCGCTCGGGCAGCAGAAAGCCCTGGCTCTATGGTGTCTCATTATTATAGCGGAGTACGTTTTAGTGCCGTGTAGCGTATTCCCAGCCTAACCATAGAGCAGGTACATGGTGGCATCGAACTGCCTCCTGGTCGGTTCTCGTCAAACGTTTGCATTTGCTCGTGATGGAGCCATCCCTTTTTCACGGTATTTATACCGGATCAATCGCTACACAGGAACACCCGTCAATACAGTTTGGTTCGAAATCATCTGCTCTCTGGCAATTGGACTTTTGTCGTTCGTGAGCACCGAAGCCATCGATGCGGTATTCACAATTGCTATCACCGCGTCGTATATCGCCTACATAACGCCGATCACGAACCGCTTTGTGTTCCAGAATGATTTTAAACCCGGTCCGTTTTATCTGGGGAAACTGGTGGGTTAATCGGCGTGATGTATTCTTGAACTAATATGCCTCTGCAGAGCTTTCCAGTCTCTGTGATCGCTGTGGCGTGGATGGTCTTCATGATCCTTGTTTTCTTCTTCCCCGCGACCCCGCAAACAACGGCACAGGAGATGAACTATACAGTTGTGGTACTTGGAGGGTTCATGTTTCTGGCGATTTCCTGGTATTATTTCCCGGTGTACGGAGGCGTGCATTGGTACACTGGACCCATATCCAACTATACGCCGGCCATCAGAGGTGAAAACAAAGACGAAGATTCTATATCGGAGAGGAAGGAACATGATGCCGATATCTATGTTGAAGCGGTGGATCATGTATAAGAAGTGTTCGTATAATACTGTCGTGAAGTCAACGGCATATAAAAATGATACATATGTATTCGATAGCATACAACATACAGTGTTGTATACAAACCTAGAGTACGAGTTTTTCAAAATTTGGCAGCTCGCTGCCTTTACCAGGACTCTTTGGAAAATTGGTCAGGACGGCTATTACGAATTATTTTACAAACACCGATCTCGCCTCGTGCACCTCTAAAGTCATGTGCATGCACTCGGCATATGCGAACATGCGCTCAGGGAGTCGCGTCCCAGAGCTACTACTCGTTTTTCTCCCGTCATCATTCCTCCTTACCCGTTCTCACATTGACTCTCATCGTTTTGGAGGAAATGTCGGAAAATACCCCTACCACAGCCGCTTCCTCTGTTCCTCTCCAGTAAGAATTTATATATTTCACCCTTGAACATTTTTCTTCCCAGGTATTGTTATCCACCTTGATGACACTTGGAACAAGAAAATCGATTTTGCCGAGTTGAAGTTTGATTCGTGGCGACAGGAGATCCACCACAGTTCGGAACAAGACAAACACCTCAGCGCAGCCCAAATTGAGTGTCATTTGAGAGACATATGTGTGTTCGTTGGCGGAGTGGATGATACACGACGGTACAAGTGTAGATCATTCCAAGGATATGAGATTGACACTTACATAAAGTGCTCCGTAGGCATAAAAGCAATCCCGTATGGTGACGCAAATGATGCGCGCTAGGTTGTCCCACGGCCGTCAAAGGCGCTGCACCTAGAACCTAAACGGCTAAAAAAAAGGTTGTGTATGTACTATGGATGCGACTTGCTCGTGGAGGATATTGGCAAAGCACCGCCGAACCAACTCACTTAGCGTACAACCTGGTATGGTAGTTAGTCAGTCTAGTAGAACAATGCGCTGCATGTGATCACATTTAGAATCTCAATTTAGACCTAGTCTTGAAGTCAGTAGTTGGACAAGGGCCCACCGCCACGTCGCTGTCAACAAATACTTGTCCAAGACACTAAACGTATTAATTGATTGAGTCCGTCCTCGATTATCTACTCTCGTGCGAGCTAGGCTGCGCCTGATACTGTAGTTCTGCTATGATATATGAAACTCGATATATCTTCTCGCAACCCTTTCCTAATTCGAAAGCTAAACAATAATAAGACTTCATAGTAATGCAAGAAGAAAAATCAATACCTCTCTCAGATATATTGCCTAGTTGTAGCGCTTTTCGTCCTTGAGACGGTGAACAAAAGCTTCTGATGTGATAGGTGTTATAAATAGGATCCAACAGGCTTGTAATGACTTACTTCTCTTGTGAACACGGTGAGATCCAACGTCCTCGCGCGCCGTGTCGACGCTGTCACTGTTGTTGCTTTCAACGTCGGTTGAATGAGAGACGCAGGACCCAGAGTCATGGGACTTGTTGTTTCTCCTGTAAGAAACAGCATCCTCGCGCCCCGTGTCGCCGCCGTCACTGTTACTTTTGTCGGTTGAACGAGAGACGCAGGACTCAGAGTCATGAGAGTTAGTGCTTCTCTTGTGAGACCCAACATCCTCACGCCACGTGTCACCGTTGTCGCTTTTGTCGGTTGAATGAGAGGCGCAGGACTCAGAGTCATGGGAGTTAGTGCTTCTCTTGTAAGACCCAGCATCCTCGCGCCCCATGTCGCCGCTGTCACTGTTACTTTTGTCAGTTGAACGAGAGACGCAGGACTCAGAGTCATGGGAGTTAGTGCTTCTCTTGTGAGACCCAACATCCTCGCGCGCCGTGTCGCCGCTGTCACTGTTGTCGATTTTGTCGGTTGAACGAGAGACGCAGGACTCAGAGTCATGGGATTTAGTGCTTCTCTTGTAAGACCCAACATCCTCGCGCCCTGTGTCGCCGCTGTCACTGTTGTCACTTTTGTCGATTGAATGAGAGACGCAGGACTCAGAGTCATGGGAGTTGGGGATTCTCTTGTGAATAATGACGTCATCGTCATTACTAGGCGACATGGGCTTCGCTAGGTCGATCGGGTAAATTACATCAGGTGCATCAGGCATCCCAAGCCTGGGTTTGAGATGATCAACGAGGTTGGAGGAAAGCTCCTGGGGCCTAGCCAGAGCTGCATAGCATATCAGCACCGACAAAAAAGGCACGAGTCCACGGTGCTCACAAGTACGTTTTTCGACCAAATTTAGTGTCGGATGTGACACAGCAATAGCAGCAAATGTAACGAGTGTGGTGAAAATGAGTGTGAGTTGCATGGTTGGAATCAACGATGGATATTTGGGTGCTAGGGACCCTCTAGTCGAAATCGCGAGGGCTTTTATTTGCCACGAACTGAAATGTAGTATCGTAAGAACCACCTAGGTTCATCGGATACCTTCTGACTCGACGCTTACCGGACATGTTATTTCGGATCCATGGCTGGCTAAGACAAACTTTACCTAGTCGTAAGAACCACCTAGGTTCATCGGATACCTTCCGACTTGACGCTTACCAGACATGGTATAGTATTTTGGATCTATGGCCGGCTAAAACGAACTTCACCCTCAAACATGGACCGACAAGCCGTGGAGCGGAATGGTGGCGGAGGTAACAGGTCACTAGTACACACTCAAAGTTCAAATCTTCGGTTTCTGGTACCGTGTACTAGTGCCCTGTTAGCATTCCGAAGTACTACATCACAGGGACAAAAGGATATGACGGGTTACATATCTTTTTCCTTTCATTCCAGATGCGGGCAGCCTCACGTATCCTTCTGCTTCTTCAGATCCGGGATGTAGGGTCCAACTAATCCAGCTTCGTCTAGCTCGGGCCGGTGATATAATCTCATGGGGTTGGGCTGGACCGAGCGTTAGCTCAGGGTGGGACGCAAGCAGATGGATCCGCTGGGAGGGGGGGAAAACTGCTTACGGATTCGATCATGCCTCATGACTCGCTAGCTAGCTTCACACTAAGAAGTTAAGTAGAACGGACGCAACGATGGGATGATCATTAAAAGATCAGTAGTACGAAGTGATGGACAAATTGCACTTCACCTCTCGCAGCACAAACCAACGTTCCTACCTCCCAAGCTTCACCCGCTTCCTAACGGGGGTATCCGAATTCAGAACAGCCGACGGAACGCGTTTCTTGGCACTTATGTCCCACCCGCTCTTTCCAAGCAACAACACATCAGGCGAAGAGTTTGGGAGCCATATTTCCCCCTCAGCATCCTCGTCTTCCTCCATCACATTGCCCAGGCTGTCAGAGGAGAAGTCAAATAAAGGGACAGATGTGCAAGGAAGCTCGTTGTCATCTGTGTCGAGCAGCGTAAGACTCGAGCTCCGCGCAATCAGAGGACTCGAAGATCGTCCTGTGAGGTGTGGACTCGAACTCCCAGCAATAGGTATAGGACTTGACCTCCGAGCTGACGCATTTGACACGGGGAGGCGGTTTCTTCACAGGCGTTGCTGTTACGAGGGTGATCGCCGGTGCTGCGCGAGATTGGGAGGATTGGGACTGGGAATCAGTGCGCCCGATGATACGCTTAGCGGTTGCAGCAGGCATCTTTGTATCTGCCTGTGACACCGTGGCTGTCGACCGGTCTTTCCCCTTCCATGTACGAGACATGCTGATCTGTCGGGTTAGTGCACGCTGAAGTGCCTTGTCCTGCGTTGCGCCTACGCTTGCTGCACGTTCCTTTTCTTTTTCCTGGGCGAGCGAAATGGACAACGAGCGAGTGCGAGCAGGGGCCCTTATTGTTACACCACTTTGTGAGCCTGCTGCAGTAGTCGATGATGAATGATGAGAACGATACCCATGAAGTGATTTCTCTGTAGATGGGCCGGGAGAAGAAGGTTCGTCGGAGAAGGGAGAGTTTGGGAAGAGTTTGGAGCGCAGGAGGGCACATTGTTCCGGGAGTTTTGATTTGAACCTATAATGATTGGATGATTAGTATCGTGATTTATATGTGCGTAAGGCGGTCACTCACAGTGGTTCAACTACATCCTCACAAAACTTTTGCATCCAGTCACGTTCATTCTTGTTGCGGGTCGCAATCTCAGTGCAAGAAGTATTCATAAGTGATACGAGCTGCCACATTGAGAGTTTGTCCATGAAGGACTCGAGACGCTCGATCGAAGACGGGATGATCAAGTTTGGTTTTTCCTTCTTCTTTTTCCGTGAACGGCTGGGTTTGATGGGCGAAATAAATGAAATATTATCGGTGGGTGGTACTTCGACAGGCGGTAATGGGGTGCATGGTCCAGGAAGAGAGAGCTTGAGGAAATAGAGCAGGATCTGAATCTGGATTCTACAAAGTCGTTATGATGCGCCCAAAAGCGAGATAAATGCACTTCCTCACGCTGCTCCATGCGCTCGAGCCAACCTGACCTCCATTTCTCTTCTAGCATCGTGTTATCTTCTCCGCTGAGGTGTTCGCCACACTCTGCGCTGCCATCAACTTTCTCATACCCCAAAGCATACCACATCATGCTCTCCTCTGCTTCGCCTGCACCGCCTCCGTCTGCGAGAATCTGAGGAAGCTCATTATGGTACTTGTTCGCGGCTGCGCGAAGAGAGAGAAGGAGAGGTTCGATAAAGGGGTGAAGAGGATGTGGCTGGTCTTCTGCGAGATCCGGAGTGCCTCGAATGCGGAGAAGAGATGTAATAAAGAGAGAGAATGGCATGATTGACTATATTGCTGTTAGTAAATATATAGAATGGTTAGAGAAGGACGTACATGAGGAAGCCATAGAAAGTGAAGGTAGGTGCACTGGACAAAGAGGGCTGGATCTGCTGGATCATGATCTTGAAACGGGTAGTCTCTGCTCAGACTCTTTTCTTGGGCTGCAGTCCATTTGAGTGAGGCTGGCGTGTGCAAAACAAAAGCTTGCTGAAGTGACATCGGCGATCCTCAGTTGAGGTAAGTCGATGAAACGCGTCGCACGTGACCGCGTATTCTTCAAGTTGTTCGGGCGGCAGCCCGGCTGCCTCCAATTGCCAATCCTGCTCATCGATTATTCCACTTAATCCCATGTATGTATGGTGGACAGTCGCGAAATTACTCCTGCGATGGTCCTGAGTACTATCATCCTGTTTTTGTTTCTCCCACACAAATTTGTAGGTTGGGTGTTTGAATACGGTCTTTTTTTTATATACCAAAGTAGATTTCACGAGACATCGTAGCTACCCAGGATTTTCATTGTGTCTAACCCAATATAAATACGAATTCTGGTTTACATCAAGTACTACTAGTACAAGTTGGGACTGACTATGTTCTAACACCCCTTGCGAATCATTGCCTATTTTACAGCTGAAAAACAATAAGAAATGATAGTAGAAACAAAGAGCAGCAATACCTCTCTTAGATACATATTAGTCGTCACACCTCTTGGTGTTGGACTGGTAACCAGAAGCCTCTGTTGCGATAAGTGGTGTTACACATGGGTGATCGATTAATCCACCAGGCATATAATGGCTTACCTCTCTGGTGGACATAGTTAGGTTCAGGATCCTCACGCCTAGAGTGCGAGTCGGGCGAGTCGGGAGAGTCGGGAGAGTCGGGAGAGTCGGGAGAATCGGGAGAGTCAGGGGAGTCAGGGAAGTCGGGGCAGTCGGGTGAATCAGGAGAGTCGAGCGAACCAGGAGAACCAGGAGAACCAGGGTCCCTGGTGTCAAAAACAACAATGTTACAGGGAAGGCCGTGCTGAGCCAAAGCTGTATAACATATCAGTATCACTTCCAATAACTAGAGAGGCGCACGAGTGCTCACAAGTGCAATCCGTCCCCATTTCTGGCGTGGGATATGCCACAGCAATAGTGGCAAGGGTTACGAGGATCGCGAAACCAAGTGAGGGCTGCATGGTTGGAAGTAAGAAGAGTAAGGGCTGTTTTGAACGCTTTCTTGGCTCCCTGTTTTTATACATTATTGCGCAAAGTTCTTTAGAACTACCTGAGGAGAACAGGAGGTCAACTTCGATCAACACGTCAGCGCTCAACTACACACGGACATATCGTAACACCGAGAGGATACCGCGGTGTTATGATAATCGAGAACCTTTGTTTACAAGGCGTCCTCATATATGATCCGAGCCTGTTCTGGCTGGTACGAACTTCAAATCTCTTCTCTTCAAGTTGCTGTATCGATTGCTTATGCGAGGCCCTCATGAGATAACTCAATCCAGTCGGATTGCATGTAGGTGGACTGGTAAGTAGACTGTCAAGCCCGTCTGATACTTACAAAGAAGTACGATTACGCCTTATCATGGCTTGGTTGTAATGGCCCGAATTGCCATTCGTTCTGAGGAGTGACATTATAAGGGAAGGCATGGCATAATTTGAACTCTCTTACTCAATTCTAGGTCTGAAACTAAACGAGGTCCTATCGTATCTCGTTAGCAAAGAGCCAATGGCGGTGCATAGTAGCAGCCACATATGGCTAGAGCAGACGTAAGTCGCGAATGTTTGGTGCGGAAGTAGGGAACTTACCGCCCCGACTCGAACCTCTCGCAAACATCATCTCTAAAAGGTGGAGCCTTTCCAGTGGGTAAGAAACTGGGAGTGTGATCGTCAGTGCTCGTCTTAATCGATTCAACAATGTATAATTACCTGTAAACGGATAGTTGAACTGTAAGATAAAAGAGCGGAAGTTAAAACGTACGTAGTCAAGCGCCTGCTAGTATTTACGCCACCCAGTGCTCACCCGCATTATTCTGCAAGATCACATAATGATAGCTGAAACACAGTCGGACATTGATGGGAGAAAGCCAGAGAAGTGATTGAATTCGAGGAACCCCGGACAGAGCCTCAGTGTTATTACGCGCAAACTTCGTTTGAAGCGTTAATGCGGCATTTGTGCGGGCCCGCCTTTCTTTCGAAAACCAAGAAATGTGCAGCCGTGGCATGCTGCGGATATAGTAGGGTCGAAACACAGGATTCAGAACACCCGTACTGCCGATACGAAGACAGACTAGTACCAGTGTTGATCGCGATAGATCAGAAGCTCAAGTTTTGCTCGTCGCCATCATCAAGAGTCTAGGGGGGGCTCGTTGTAATGCTTATTGTCCGTCGGGCAAAGGTGAGGAGGGGCTCGAAATCGATGATGGCGTGAAGTCAATGGGATTGGTCTACATAGCTCGGGAACGGGCCGTCGTTAGTTAGAATGGTCAGCGAATAAACGTACGTGGACAAGCCAATGGAAAGTTGAAAGTATCAAGCTAAGTGCACTTGGGTCTGCTTGCTCGCGGAGCATCAGTAAAGCGCTCCTGAACCAACTCATTGGCAGTCCTTAGCGCACAGCCTCATATGATAGTCAGTAAGTGCTGCATGTGACCGCATTTACTAGAATCTCCTAGTCTAAGTCAGGATCCATTTGGTGCATCACTGTCAACAAATATTTACTTGTCCAAGACACTAAGCTCATTGACTGAGAGCAGAATTTGGAGCTGTAAATGTCGGCGCACGACATAACAAAGTGGGGTTACCTGCAAGCGAATACTGATTAATGAACCATTGAATAGGGCGCTCGAAGTAAAACCTACAGCCAAACACCCTAGGCATGTAGCCTACAGTTCCGGTGCTGAAAGGGTGTTCTACAAGGTCGCTATATATCACGTCATACAACGAGACAAATAGTCAGGCAACCGTGAAAAGATTGACTAATGACTAAACAGTATAAACTGAAGGAATACTTGGAGTTCTGGACTGAGGAGAGCATGTCTCACTCAATGAAAGCGAGTTCAAATCAATGGGGTTTGATTGTCTGTGACAGATTCGAAAGAGAGTAGTATGATAATGTAGGGGTTGAATTTAATCATATCATAATATGTGAAGTGCAGGCAGCTGCTGACTTCAAGAATTACCCACGATCAATGTCGACCATCCCATGGTAGTCATGGCACTTAGTGTTGACCACGATTCGGACAGAGTCAAGTTTGCCTGCCAGTGGCACCGTCTCACATAATGGGTAGCTCATCGTTGGCTACGCGGCCTCCTTTGCGGTGCCGCGCTCGCCCAGTCCTATTCACCATCACCCGGTGACCCTCGTCCTGTTCATCTTTTTCCATTCATCAACCTTAACCTTCCTGTCTTCCGTGTTCTCTCAATCCGATTCATACAAGCTCGACCATCGCTCCGAAATCCTTTCCAAATGTGCCTATACACACGCAAAACCCGGGCCTCCACACCATTTCCATGCACGGACACAGAGTGACCGCCACGCAGAGAACACGAAGCCTGCAGCGCAGAATGACTCCTCTGTTGCAGTTCGACGTCGTAGGGGTGAGTCTGACGTTTTCTGTCTAGCAGCCCTGACTGATAAATTTAGTCCCTTCCCACAGAACTGTCTCTTCTCATCTTCACGCATCTTCCAGCAGCTTCCTTGCTTGCGTGTTCTCTTGTTTCTAACACATGCTCCTACACAATCGTTTCTGCCAGGGCGCATATCGTAGGCGTACGCTGCCTGGCGCAGATGCCAGTGGACACAGCGCTGCAGTGCATTGTTTCTGGTTATGGACGTATCCGGCAGGGCTTGATAGTCGGTTCGCACCCCTGCAGGTGCTATTTACGAGATCGAAGGACCGCACTTGTTCGGGAGTAGGATTTGCACACGGACCGCGTACGGCACGTGGTCGGTGAATTGATTCTAGTGTCTTAAGCTTATGCGTATCTTCCGACTTTGCGAAGTCGGGAAATGGGGAGGAGGCTTTGGCGAGCGAGCCTAGTAGGGCTGGTTTTCTGGTCAGTGGAGGGAGTTATAGGCGCGTCGTTGTTTGGGATCTTGGCAAGGACAGGCTGGTCAAGGTGCTGCAAGATCATCTTGACAGCGTGCTGTGTGTTCGTGTCGATAGTGGGAGGCTGGTGACGTGTTCCAAAGGTTTGCTTGGTCATTACAGCTTTATCTGTCGATTGACTAAATATTTACTTTCCAAGACCAGACTGTCAGAACATATGGGTTTCCGTCGTTGAAGCCTCAATTCGTGTTTCGTGCACATCGTGCAGCTATTAACGTTGTTGGTGACGTGATAGTGTCTGGCTCTGGTGACCGTTCCATACGCGTTTGGAATGCAAATACTGGTGCGCTCATCAGCACCTTTGAGGAACACCATGCACGAGGGTGAGGCTCCTGAATTTCCATTAGTAGATATGATTACTAAGATAACGTCTTCAGCAAATATTGCCTCTATCGAGTTCAAGCCCCCATATTTGTTGTCTGGCTCATCAGACATGCATTTGCGCATGTTTGACATAGCATCGTCGCAAGGCTGGTCGACAAACCCTGAGGTCAACACTATTCCCTCTGCCACGGTTCCTAGCTTGACCTCCTCAACATCGCATGTTCAAGATGATATTGCAATGATACCGGGACACACGACGTGAGCAAGAGAGACACACCCATCTTGTGCGAAGCGTTGCCCTTGGGGAGGAGTTTGCCGTCAGTGGGAGCTATGATTTAACCATTAAGGTATGTTGGATGCAATCGCGGGGAAAAAACGAGACTCATGACTTTGTGTGGACACAGGTGTGGGATAGGAAGACGGGGGCGCTGGTGGCTGACACTGAATGGCGGCCACACAGGAAGGATATTTTGTGTAGGTTTTGATTGTACCAAGGTCCGTGATTTCTAATTGTATTTTAACTTGATTGAATCCTAAAAGCTGAAAGCGCACCTCGCAGAGGATCTGTATTTGGGATTTCTCACATGGAATTGATACATCTTTCATCAAACTGTAGCTCTAGAATCATGCGATACCCTGTATTTTGGAAAGCCTCCTCCTTGTAGATTGCTTATCGATCGGTGCTGCCAAAGCCTGAAATGCTGTAAGTACAGGGCGTTGTAGGCGGGCGATTGCCTACTATCTACGACTTGTATGATGTCAAGCGCCGTCATTAATGTTTGCGCGTGGATGCTCCCTTTTCGAACAACTGCGTGCTTAGGGGTAACTGTTACCGCGGGTTTTGGATAACATGAAAATAAAACCGCTGTAAAACGCTCGACATGAGTGAGGAACTCGAGGCAGAATTTTATGTGCTGTTGATGCATGAGAGCGTTACAGATACAGAGATACAACAAACGCGCTGGCCAAACAAGTACAAACCGCAGATGCAATATTACTACTGACATATTCTTGCCATCGTCTTGCGCGATCTACTGGCACAAAATGCAGCGCGGCCTACCAATGGTACGTCCTTTCCGTGTCTGCTATTCATCATAATCGATCCTTGATTTCAGCAACCCACTGTCGTGCTCCTTCGGGAGGGCACAGACACGTCTCAAGGAAACCCACAGCTTTTGTCTAACATATCCGCGTGTCTTGCCATATCCGAGACACTCTCCAGCACGCTTGGTCCGCGTGGAATGGACAAGTTGATCGTGAACGAACGTGGCGAAGCTCAGATCACCAATGACGGTGCAACGATCTTGAAGCTTCTTGACATTGTTCATCCGGCTGCCAGGACCCTCGTCGACATCGCACGTGCCCAGGATGCAGAAGTCGGCGATGGAACCACCAGTGTAGTACTTTTGGCTGCACAGTTCCTCAAAGAAGTTCGTGGATACATCGAGGAGGGTGTCAGCCCGCACATCATCATGAAGGGATTCAGGAAGGCGTCACAACTGGTACGTAACACATGTTGCTGCGATATCGCTTGAAAATCATGATATTAACAATCAATAGGCTGAAGAACGCATCAAGGCAATTCAGATTAGTATTGACAAGTCCGATCCTGAGTATGTCTCGGATTTTTTGAATGACAGTCCCTAACGCTTCTTCAGGCAATTTCGATCTCTTCTACTCAAATGCGCAGCAACATCAATGTCGTCGAAATTGATCCATTCGGAAAAACCATTCTTCTCGAACATGGTCGTTGACGCTGTTCAGAGCCTGGATCCAAACGACTTGGACGAGTCGCTCATTGGGGTGAAAAAGATTGCAGGAGGTGGCATGCAAGACTCTCTGTTGATCCGTGGCGTTTCTTTCAAAAAAACTTTCACGTATGCAGGTGCTGAGCAACAGCCGAAGTCCTTCCGGGACCCTCTCATTCTCAGCTTGAACGTGGAGCTTGAGCTGAAAGCTGAGAAGGACAATGCCGAGGTTCGAGTGGAGGCGGTGAAGGACTACCAGGCGATCGTTGATGCAGAATGGGAGATCATTTACAGGAAGTTGGAAGCGATAGAGAAGACTGGTGCCAAAGTGGTGTTGAGTAAATTGCCAATCGGAGATCTGGCCACTCAGTGGTTCGCCGACCGGGACATCTTCTGTGCTGGTCGTGTACCGGCTGGTGATCTGCGCAGAGTATGTCAAGCAGTAGGAGGCTCTGTGCAGTCAACGTGCTCAGACATAGCTCGAGAGCATCTCGGAACTTGCGGTCGGTTCGAAGAGCGACAGGTCGGTGGCGAACGGTATAATATCTTCGAGGAGTGCCCCAAAGCACAGACATGCACGCTACTTCTTCGTGGTGGTGCAGAGCAGTTCATTGAAGAAGTGGAACGTAGTCTGCATGACGCCATCATGGTCGTTAAGCGAGCAATCCGTAATGGTGAGGTGGTGGCTGGAGGCGGAGCTGTCGAGGTAACTTATGGCTCATTGTCTTTTTATGATCTACTCTCTAACTTTGTGGTTCAGATGGATTTATCCGCGCACATTCGGAAACATGCACTGTCGATTCCTGGGAAGCAGCAACTGATTTTGACTGCTTTTGCAAAAGCGCTAGAAATCATTCCTCGACAAATCTGTGACAATGCCGGTTTGGACTCTACTGACATTCTTAATAAACTGCGCATGCGACACGCTGCTGGCAACAAATGGTTCGGAGTAGATGTTGACGGTCCGGAAGGTGTCCGCGACAACATGGAGGCATTCGTTTGGGAGCCTCCGCTCGTCAAGTTGAACGCAATCAGCAGTGCAACTGAGGCCGCATGTCTCATCCTCAGTGTCGACGAAACAGTAAGAAATCCACAAAGCGAGGCAGTACGTAGGCTCTTCTCTTTCCCTTTACAAGAACTGAGGAAATCTCTTTCAGCAAAACCCAGGGCCAAAAGCACCACCTGGCGCAGCAGCTCGTGCTATGCGGGGCAGGGGCAGGGGCATGCCCAGGCGGTGAAGGAGATGGCATCGCCGGTAAAAGATTAGAAGAAGTGACTTGATAATGACACGTACCATATCATCTGTTCTTAGCAATCAAGTGCTAATCAGGGTACTTGCAAATATTGACATAAACCTGGGTCCTCGTTACAGCAGTAATGGCATTGGACAAAATTTTCAGCTGGATCTGATCAAAGGAAACTGATGAAGGTCATGTCGCGTCCATAACGGACAGGATTCCTTGCAGTTCCCAGAACATGCCCAGCACTTCTCAACCATACCACGGTATTTATCAACCTGCAGCGCAGGAATTGCACGACGATGAAGGTTGAACGACTTTCATTGGCTGACTACACTACAATTTCCACAAGCCTCTCGAGTTACATGAGCGCTAATGCGCCACTCGCTCATGTTCATCGATGCGGTTGCAAAGCTCCTTCTGGACAAACTTCAACTAGATGTATTGGCAGCATATCACATGTATCGTGTGTTATGTGAAATGATTAGAAGGATAGATCAATGTAAAGGACGTTGAGATAACCGAAGGAGCGACGATAGTATGATACAATGATGGTGTGGTGATATACAAGTTGAAAGATAACCGACAGCATAACCGGAATTAGTAGACTGGTACCAGCTTGTTAAGGATTTTCTCAGTCAGTATCGAATACTGGCGCCCGTGTGGCTATGGGCGAACTACCTGGCTTTCAAAGCCAGCTTTCTGACCACCAGCACTGCAAGGTCCTGCCGGCGTAACGTGTGAGAGAATGGACACAATCAAAGCAAGACTAGCAAAACGCACGATGATCAAAGTGGTCAAGCTAAAGCGTCTGATGCGAGGTTTGGCGTCAGCCTCGGCGACTTCAACGACTTCCTGGAGATTCTCAACATTAGGATGCTGGTCCTCATGGAGGTTGGACTGCAATTTGAGAGTAAGTCAGGGTACAAGAAAATGTAAGCAAATACCTACGAGGTCGAGAATCACAGGTCTAGCATTGTCGTCCTCTTCAACAACGTCGTACCAATTGCTGAGGCGATCATCTACAGTGTTCTTCATAGCAAAGTGTGAAAAATAGCGATCCAGTGAGCTTCGCGTGGCTTACCATCAGGCTCTCGCGTTGGCTTAACTTTACCCTCGGGTAAGGGTGGAAGCGAAGTAAGTGAGAAGTCCTGTAGCTGGGCAGCCTCATGTTGCTTGTCGAAGACTGGTTCATCACAAGGGAGAATGAAGGGAAAGGAATGTCGTATACCCTGCGTGAAGGCATTAGTGTTTAAATACCAACGGGAGTTTGAGGGAAGGAAAGCGAAAATAAATAAATTGAAAGCCAGGGACTAGAACCCTAAATTCGCAAATTCCGACGGGGTTGAGTTAGTATCCCCAAAATCGCAATCCCTGAGTTGGTGCCGAATACATTGTGAGCGCCTATCCCAGTACGGCCGTTGTGAATCTCGAGATATTGGTACGAAATTTGCTTCCGCGGAAACAATTACTTTAACATCTCCATCGGCGACCCCAATCCAGGACAAACCATCGATGCACAAAACGACAGACACAAGACGGCGCAGGAGGGAAAGCATGCATGATTGGGTACCAGGTTGCTCCATCAAAATTACAGACCGCCGTCGCAGGAAGCAAACATGCATGACGCTCAACGTGTTGGATGCTTGCATGTTTAGGCTCCATAATACACACCACGAACTTCGACGACCTGTTCAACTTCTTATGTGCTGCTTAGAGCATCATAAGAATGCTGCGAGCCAGACGCATCCCTGCTTGGAAAAGAGTCAGTATACACGAGACTCAAGTGCGTGGACTCTGTTCATGGTGAACTCTGTTGTATGGTACACAGTATGTCTCCAAAAATGCGCTGATAAACCATCCTGAGCGACTGCATCCCCTGGACATGCCAGAAAAACCCTCAATGTCAAGCTACTCCCTCAGCGAGGATAGCGTGACATAGAACAATGTGACAAGCGGCGTGACCCAAAAAGGGGCGTCACGCTAATTCGCGTGCACGAGCCAAGGCAAGTTCGCAACCGCCATCATAAAACATGAAAGCGACTCAGCAGTGTGCTCACAAGCTCTCAAGATGTTTCAAGCAGCATTGTTGTGAGTCAAGATGGTCACTGTGGCTGCATCAAGACCACCCAAAAACCTCAACTGGCACAACCGCCTCCATCAACATCGACAGATGGCCACCACTGCCACTCCAGTAGTAATATGCCCCAGAACAGAAACAAAATATGGTTGGAGTGAACAAGACACTCACCAGTGATCATAATTTGGCTCAGTGCCTCTACATGCATCGTAAGCTGCCTCAAATCCCCACAAATTTCCGTGCATCCAGATGTGAAGAATGTCGAACCGAATGATCCAACATGAGAAGAAGTGCTGTCAAGATGCAGAAACCATGAAGATCCCCAGCTCCATTGCTGGTGGGAGAACTGCGATTTTTCACCGTCGTGTCGTCCAGTTCTTGCCTTCGACTTTGCCGACATAATAGAAATTGACGATGCTGAGCTGTGACCAAGCTAACATAAAGTGCGACCAAGCTGTCTTGCATGTCCCCGTGGGCAACACAATTCGTCATAGGCGACTCCAATTTGCGAGGGATCCGTGGTGCGACGATAGGTATCGAAGCCTTTCTTCAGGATCAACAATCCAAGAAACTTGATCGCGAAGAGCCCTCTCGCATTGCGCTTGAGTGGTTGAAGTTGAGCTATCGAATTTTCATTTTTGAACGACGGGTCCCAGCGGTTGGTGGGTGATCTGTGGGCGCCAACTTTTTGTTTGGTCCACAAGCTTGAAATCGAAGTGACTTTAGACCCTAGTGCCAGGGTGGACGCAACTCCGCTCGCTAATTCAAGGCCAAAGTTTTTGCAGCTCCCCTTGGTTTTTGGCCTGATTTAACGGATTGATTTTTCTCCTCGAACGAGAAACTTAATATATCGCAGTTTTCGTCTCGGCCGCCTCTCCTGCATGAAAGTCGGGCAATATGACGACTATCTGATGTTGACCGTCCACGAGAGAAAGGCAATGGCTCTGCAGTGAACCGAAGTTTGGAGTCTTGGACCTCGTACTACTAAATCACTCGCCAAATCCCACTGGTACCTAACTACTGTTGGCTAGTCGGCTGCGTAATATTTGCCAGCGATTTCGACTGGGTCCTGGGTCCTGATTCCAGAAGCACCACCGCGTCAATGGGATTACCGAAGTGGTACTGCTTAAGCTCAACTGGATCGTCTGTCCTCCCAGCTAAAGCAGGTCTCCATCTCCTCTGTATAGCGCTCGCTCAGTTTTTTTTCAGGACGATTCTATACATCTCCTGGGTACCTCGTTCGTATGCGATGAACTCATGTATTAACAGACTGAGGAGAGCCAAATTCATCGACATCGCACTTGGAGATTTTTTACTTCATTTTTATTTTCTGGATCTCCTTCGTCTACCTCGCAGCCTGTGATCCTTTGCCATTGTGCGAGCTGGGAATATTAGTGCGTTTCGGTCAGTCGGCCCACTCATTTTCGTTCTCGACGACCTTCGCTGATGCTGTCGCTCTTCATTTAAACTGTAGGGCGCAATAGCCATCCTATTTGATCTCATATGTCAATCTCGTTAAACGAGCGATCCGCATTGGTGGTGGTGACTGGAGACGGAGCTGTCGAGGTGACTCATGACTCATTGTTTGTTTTTCTCCTCTCTAACTGGATGTATGGATCAGATGGATTTATCCGCGCACAATTGGAAGCATGCGCCGTCCGTTCCTGGGAAGCAGCAACTGATTCCAACTATTTTCGCAAAAGCACCAGAAACAATTCCTCAGCAAGTCTGCGACGATAACATGGAAGCGTTCGTTCCGCTCGTCAAGTTGAACGCAATCGGCAGTGCGACGGAGGCCACATGCCTCATTCTCGGTGTTGACGAGACAGTGAGAAATCCACAAAGCGATGCAGTACGTAGGCTCTTATCTTTCCCTTTTCAAGAATTGATGAAAGTCAACGTATTTTTTGTAGCAAAGTCCAGAGCCAAAAGCATCCCCTGGTGCGGTCTCCGGGGCAGGGGCATGTTGAGGCGTAGATTCTCGAGGTTGAGTAATCTTGATGCAGACTGAAAATGAAAGTAAAGGCGAGATTGATCGCATTTACGCTCGTCCGAAAAAGATCCGGCAATCCGGTGATACTGTCCCAGACTTTGAGGATCTAGGTTACCGGGCATGCCATACTTTAGCAGTTCGCCGCCGTCAATGCTAGCCTCTACTGGTTGGATTGAATGACGCGGGATTCCACCAGCTGGGAAAAAGACATGGGGATCCTGTGCATGTATAAAACGTGGCGCTGTGGCCTAGCCACCTGGAGCTCCGTTCGAATCATGTCTGCGCTTGGAGCGAGAACGGATTCCGGCAGGTCAAAGTTACTGACTTGAGGCACGAGTTGTCGAAGCAATGAGATTGTATATTAGTGAGCAGGCCAGTGCAACGAATGTACTAGATAGCTTATATAGTAGTACTTGGATGAGCTATGAAGCAAGTGTTGTATGTCCTTGTTTGTCAACGTTAACCTCCAATAGCCCCTCCGCTCGAAGGTTTGAACTAAGTCTGAACAACACGGTTATCAGTCAACACTTCTTCGAATTCAAACCTGCAACCTCACGGGCCTGATGGTATACATTGCGCTTACCACAGGAATAACACTGTGCCGCAGAACGCGACTTTCCAGTATCATCAGCGATTTTAGTACACTGTTTCGCAACCGGGAAACCAGTCACGGTAACCGTAGACATGAAATGTGCCGCAGCGCAGTGGATGGCCAACTGATCATTTCTATGTGATTACACATGCCGAATGAAATCAATCACAGCTTGCCGTTCTGCGCTCACTGTGCAGTGCGGCGCTTCCTGTGGACGACTCATTGACGCCGTTTTGGGTATCAACAACGATTATTTTGTATTTTGGAAGAGTGTGAATGACACACTGATCACTTCAGTTATCTTATTTACGACCTTTATTTTATCTACAGGCTTTTCTGACAAGGGAGTAATGTATAGCATAACACTGGAAGGTAAGTTATGCTCAACCTCCAGCGCTCTGATTGACCATCTCTTGTCTAGAATTTATAGCCCTCTTCGGATAATCAAGCTCAGTCCAGTCGCTTTTCCGATGCTACTCTCTACCATCTATGCTATGCCACTAGCTTTCCGGTATAAAAAAGTCGAAGGAAAGACGATGGTCCCCCAACATCCTTTCCTGATTTCCTCGATCTCTTCAAAATATCACCAATGCCAAACGCAGAACGTATGCGATATCCTGTGGCAACTATATTATCCTTGTCGCGACTGACTATTTTGTATTTCAAATGGTAGAGAACAGAATGGGGTTGAATAACCTGTTGCAACAACGATACGGCACAAGTGCTGCTTCTCGCTTGCGATGGGAAAGTGTCAAATATGGGGATGATCATAATCCTACTTGGACTTTTATTGTCTATAGTATGTGCTTATTTTTTTTTGGCCTGGTGTTTTTTTTAAACATTTTTGGGTGTATACTTAGTCGATAATATTGAGTACGGACAGGGTTCTGGCAGTGACAAGGGGTCTGCGAAGGAGATGGCAGCAGGAGTTGCCCTTATGCAGCTTCGAAGGCAGTGGGCTCATCTATTGCTCTAGATGCTGTTGGAACCTGGGCCTAGAGAAGTTACGAGCGCATTCAGGCGACGTCCGACTCGTTGACGTCAGCCGTAGATTTACAATTCCAATTGTCACTTCCTTCACTACGATAATTTCTGTATCACTATACTGATTCCCTTGAAGATACGAATCCATTTTTGCGACCATCTTAGTCCTTTTCTCCGAGACTGTGACGTGAGTTTGTATTCCGCCTTTCCGTTACAAAACGAGTTGATACACTGTAGAAATATATTGCTTATCTTTTCAGGGCCTCTCGCTCACCTCTGAGCTGCGTACTACAAATAGGTTGTCTTCTTTATTTCGCGGTACTGTACTGCATCCAACTTACCGGTATAGAAAATTTGCCGCTTCACATGTCAGCATGGCAGAACGACACGTAATTTCAATGCTTCTGATCAGTGATGATCAAACAATTCATTACATCCACCAGCACTGTGACAATTATAACATTGTACCCACATGCTCATGAGCTTCGGATTCTACTGCGTGCTACGCCTCAAAATTGCTATCTTTACCGACCAGTTGGTTACCGGAAAGCATTGGCAGGTAGGTACAATTAAGTACTACCGCTGTCACATTCATGTTGCTTGCACGTATCGCTCTGTCAGACTTGATATCATATTAACATCTCTTAGCTGTTCCAATACAAATTTCATGTTGCCTCACTTAACAACAACGTGATACAAAGCCGCTTCACGCGTGATCCATCTTCTTACACCTGCCATTAGCTCAATCCACCTGCGGACTGGCAGTCGGCAATTAATAATTTGCGAGGAACCGTTCCAACCATCCACCACAGGGCCTGCCATAAACCCAGGATAGGAAAAGCGCAGCGATTGCGTGCACAGGCCACTTGGTTTGATCTATACAGCTTGGCAGGTTGGCCTGGCTTCTAGCGCCAAAAATACGAAATCCCGAAGGCGCAAAGAGCCAACATTGGGTAGCGTCTGCCAATGAGAAAAAGTAGTTTTCCAGATCCATCACTTTTTCATCTAAGTATGATCAGCGCCACCGAGCGCGTATCTTGTTAATGCATCATTTCCTCCACCTCCACAACCGTCGTGTCCGGTGAATACATGCTCCCGCGATGTCCTTGCCAATCACCAAATTTATCTGGCTGCCAGTTACCCCTGCTTTCGTTTACAGCCTCAGCTTGATGAACTATGCATATTCTGCAGATATAAAGGAGAGACGTGGTTCAGCTCATTGTCCGACAAGTCCTACACACTTTCTACTTTCTACAACACTTATACCCAAATTCTAGCAGCGATGTCTGACAATGACCCACGTATGTCTTCTACTCATTTGTTCGACAATCAGGATGTATCTGATCACTGACCTCCAGACCCCCGCACGAAGATGAACAACGAATTGCAGAGGATATATGGTCCCTCTGCACAAGACCATGTCACGTGGGATGTCCATTCGCAAGGCCCTCCCAATGCTTTGACGTGGTATGCGACCGTCTACAGTAAGGCCCACCTCTAGTAAAAGATGTATACACTAACCAATACGTCATGCAGTTGATGATATAAAGCACGGCGATGCTGCATCCAAAACCAGAGGTGGTGCTCAAGACGAGGCTGCGAGACAGGCATATAACTGGCTGAGGAATGAACCATCCCGTCGATGAAGTTGAATGACCACTCCGATACACATATGTCATCATGTTTATCCTCTTCCGACATCTAGCTGCTTCTATTACTACTCAATACAGTCGTAATACAGCGCTGTCCATGCTAGAAGTGCGCCTGTTGTGGGTTAAGAAATATAGGCCCCCTTTCTTCCGCGATACCTCGATAGCCCGCTGTGCACCGACGCACTCTTTGTGTCAGTAGCCCAGTGTAAAGGCATAATTAATGCGGTGGTGAGTAGAGGAGACCACATCATGATGTGGCGTGGGGTCTGTCACACGTCCCGGCCAAGTACTGGCGCTTACGCTTCCACTTAATTCCATACAAGTCTCCTTGTATACAATAGACATTCCAATGGTAAACTATCGGAATGGGATCAGTACACCGAAGCAGACCGGAGCAATTTAGGGGTAAGGCTATAGTTAGCCTGGCCGCCGAAGACACGTGATGCGACACGCCTTGTAGAAGCTCAGTTGTCCCGGCCCACTAGTCCGCTGTTATATAATCTTTTATCTCATCTCTGCTACCAATATTTCTGTCCCCATTACAACGCCATCTGATTTCGAAGCTCAATCGAAGACACCCGATCCACCACCTCCGAGTCACAAACTACACGTACTCCAAACCATGTAACTCTCGAGCCCGCTTGTTCTAACTTATCATCATCTAAGCTGGCAGTTAAATGGAAACCCGTAACGGGTGGGTGTCCAATTTGCTTACGGGATGAGTAGCCTAAGGTAATAGCGCATCAAAGGCGGATGACCCAGTGATGCCTCCCAAACCTTGCGGGCAGGATGATTATCCTCGACTCGACAGCGAACAAGAAGGCCAATGGTAAATGGCAGACACAAATCGAACGGCCTAATGACCGTGACAGAGTCATTCCCCCATCGCGAAGCCCAACTTGAAGAGCACGTACTGAACCGTCTCATGGTTGGCAATGGCAACACCAGAGTTACAAGCACGATTCATATGTGGCGTGGGGGAAATATTGGCGGGACCGGGCATGTGCATGAACACCGAATCACGGACTGGCGCCTGTCGTTGCCTTGAGGAATTTTCTCGTCTGATTTCTGTTAAAAACACTCATACCTAAATTCTGGCCACGATGTCTGGCGATAACCGTACGTCCTCTACTCATTTGTTCGATAGGCAGGATGTGTCTCAGATCGCTGACCTCCAGACCCCCGCATGAGGTTGAACAACGAATTCCAGAGGATCTATGGTTCCTCTGCACCTAATCATGTCAGGTGGGAGGTCTATTCGGAAGGCCCTCCCAACGCTTCCACATGGCATGCGACCATCTTCGGTACGTTTGCCTGCTAGGGGAGTCAAGGGATGCAAATACTAACATCCTACATACAGTTGATGATCAGAATTACAGCTACGCTTCGGCCCCTACCAGAGGTGCTGCTCGGGACGCGGCTGCGCAACAGGCTTGTGAACGTTTGAGACGAGATGGATCTACCGGAAGCAACTGATGAACAACATCAATCAAGCTCAAAGCATGGCGACTTGAGTACATATATGCCTTCATTTTCAACATCCACAATGTACATGGTTCTATTCCTCATGCTTACATTTTTCTATTAGTAACACGGCGCAGCTCATGCGAGCAATGCATTTGCGGATCGATAGACCGTTGTGTTTCGACTGCGGGCCAGTAGCGCGCCATTAGTGCGGTTACTGCGGTAATCATGATACAGCATAAGGTCTATCACACACACACACCAGCAAGCTTTGATACTAGTCACCTTCGACTGAGCTGGCAATTTGGTGTGACAACTTGTCAGACTCACAAGACCGTCTGTTGATAATTTCATATGACAACACGTAGAGTTGGACAAGTAACACATGCAAATCCTGACATGTCGACAGTCGTACTATATTATTGGTTGTATGTATATAAAATATTCGAATCAAACGAATGCCCCGGGATAAGATGGAAAGAGAACAATGTCCCCACCTCAATTGGCCATCCATTGACGCTCTTTTCTTCGCGATCGAACCTTCGCCCTGCGCTCGCTCTCCTTGACACGACGTTCCTGCTCTTTGATATCTAAGAACATGTTGCCGACATCAATGAATTTGATTGCTGGGCGTCCAGGACGTTCGACAATAGTTGTCTTTGTCCTGTTCTCAGAAGTGGCAGTGGCTGATTTTGTGGCAGCATCCAGAATGCCTGGCATAATTGGGTCCTAGTGGGTAAATTAGCTCACTTGTAAATCGAAAGAAAGAAAGAATCAACAAACCTTGCCCTCAGGCACAGTCTCCCAAAACATCCGCTGGTACCTTTGTCGCGCCCAGTCAAAGCCACCGGCTTCTTCGTCTTCTCGATCGGCCTCGACCGCGTCGTATCTATCGCTATCTATTTTGGCCACCTGCTGGTTGGTATCGTACTGCACAGGTGCAGGCTTCGATTCATCAAGGGTGGTAAAAACCTTGGTTCGAGGCACGCCAAGGATACTTTCCATGCCTTGAACAAAACCTGTCTGTATGGGTTTACCCTGCAAGGAGTGTGAGCGCTGAGGTCACAAAAGGTACGATGTATGGACTCAGATAAGGAACCAGTGCCAAACGATGTAAGGCGCTTGAATTACGCGAATAATGTATTTTCAAGGAAAGGGAAATAGTACTCACATCCTACACGTAATGACGGAATTTTCGGTGGTGAATCAGTGTGCTGTTCTTCATTGAGTGTAGTTGCGATTTACCTGAGAAATGTGTAAGCTTAGTTAGCATTTTTCAATATTAAACGGCAGTAGAAGGAAGGTGTAGATCAGTAAGGTGCGTAGATTTAACCATGTATGTGTCTATAAGACTAATCGAATTCACGTTGCTCATCACGTTCTTGAGAAAGAGAGGAAGTCCGAGATCTCACCTTTTTCCACGATTGTTCTAAACCTTTCAGTCGTAGAATAGCATCGATACGTTTGATGCTGAGATGATGTCTGGCAGCCAGAGCGCGCACTGAATTAGCCTCGGGATCAGCCATGTAAGAAAAATAGATATGAGTGCGTAAAGCATCCGAAACAGGCGGAGGGGGACGGAATGATTGGTTAAGAGGGAAGGGCTGACAAGAAGTGAGTATAATAATCATCGTGATATTAGCCTGAGCATACCGTTCCAGAGCCGAGCCAATTCCGTGGCGCTGAATCGCGGTACTTAAGACCGGCACCTACTATCCAGTTTTCGTATGAAGGAGTTCGTGGGGTTTCGGCATCGTCTGGTAAGTTCAGGCCCTCTAGGATGGCCTCGCCAAGAGCGTCATCTTCGTCGTTTGCCTCAAAATTTTCATCCTTTCTTGCGACGAAAGACTGGAAGAATGTTCTACGCGGACATCTGTAGGCAGATGGTAAACGCAAGGTGCGCTTAGATGATGAAGCTGAGATACGCAAACGAGTGAACATTTGGGCGCAGAACGCGCAAAAAATTTGAGGCATTTCTGGTTGGCATCACGTGAGCACTCTAGGGCAGGTCTCAGATCGTGTTTAAATCTGCAGTGTGCACTGGGCATCAACGGGCGTGATTGAAGATGTCCATGACATTCACAAGCGATGTATGCTTTGGAAATGATAACGGACTATTGACTTTACTAAAGGGATATTCTGCATTGATTCCTCCACTTCATCTCAAATTTCCTGTTCAATATTCATTCACTCAGGTACACACTTTTCTTTTACACCAAGTTCTGTTCGACCAGCACTTGGAGCAGTATGCACCTTCCGAGAGATATCAACAATCATTTTGGAAGTGGGCAATCGAACACCTGGAACGAATGGACAAAGACTCGGACGAAGAGGTTAGCTATAATACTACAATACCACCCGAGCAGGCAACTCATTCACAATTGCACATACTGAAGGACGGCGAAATCGACACACGAATTTATGAGCGTTATTTGTCCCTTATATCGCGTTCGATGTAGGTTTATTTACCAGGACAAGGTACCTATAATCACCTTCATTTTATATTCCACTGCACAGCGATCCTAGTGGTCCCCCACCAGACTCGTATATGACATATTACTGGAAGCCTTCAAGTTCACTTGGTTCTGCCAATCAAAACAGTTACGAGACCATAACATTACTTGAGTCTCGCACCACCATCGAGAGCGGAACGACAGGGCTTAGGACCTGGTATGCAAGCTTCGTTCTTGCCAGTTATCTCATTGCGAATGCCGGTACGGTAGACACAACATGCCATTCCTCGACCGGCCTTCATATTTCTTCATGCAACCAGAAACAATTTGTGATCAAACGGTCCTCGAGCTTGGTTGTGGATCCGGTTTTCTTGGGATTATTGTGGCGACAATACAACAGACATTTAACAAGCGTCGCCAATCACATCATCAGCCGTTGCCTGCGGTACTACTGACCGATGTGAATGCCGGAGTACTTTCAAGGTGTCGCGACAATATTCGACTTCGTTGCAGTGAGTGATCCCATTTAACGTTCATCCTTATAAGTCTTCAACGGGTAAATCAGGTTGATCTACTCTGCCCTGCACCCTTTCAGTCTGTTTTTTTTCTGTCTCGTTTGTCTTGATCAACTCATGCCGTGTTTCGAATGTGCTGTCTTTGCTTACTGTCGCGTAGATCAGTCATCAACTCACCCAAATATCACCTTCTCCACTCTTGATTGGTTCGATGCCTTTTCCCTGCCACTCGGCGAGAACGCGGTGACAACCTTTTTATCCAAAGCGGGTGCGGGCATTGTGATTGGTGCTGATATAGTAAGGCTCAAATTCGCCGTTACGCGACTGCCACTAACCTAACCAGGTATTTGACCCGATTCTGGTCCCACCTCTGGTTGCAACATTGTGCCTTGCACTTTCCTTCGAGAGTACTCGGATGGCAGTGGTGGCGATAACAGTCAGAAATGAGCAGACCCTTGCGTATTTTGTGTCTGAAGCTGGTGAGCAGTCCTCAACCTTTGTCGTGTGGTGAATTTAATATTCAAGTCGCTTAGTAAAAAAACTTCGTGTAGAGGAGGTTCCGCACGCTTTTACCTCAGCTACATACTTTGATCTGGATACCACCGGAGTGGACGCTGGTCTTGATGTGAAGATATTCAAATTCACGTTCCGTGACCCGGCGTCATAATCAAATTCGCGTGGCATTCTACAGAAGAGTTACTCTCGGATAACACCATTCGACCTTCACTCACTTGGCCAGTCACACAATGCCACGAGTAGCCTCCTAGGTCACCATTCCTGGAGGGATGGATGCACCGATATTCTTTTTTGAGTCCAAATTATGTCCTTTGGAGAGTAGTACTCTATGTAGGACAGTATGTAATGTCTGCATTATGAAAGCCTACAATGACAATAAACGGGAAAAAAAAAGTAGGACAGTACGTTCTAGTTCAAGGGACCCTCACTGCGCCGATCGCATCTCTGGGTGCGCGAATGCCCTGGCGTGAGGCGAGCCCCCACCAGTCCGCCGTTCTCGCACCGATATTGTTTATTCTTTGGTAACCGGTCCTTCGTCTCTTCCTGACCCATCCAAGCATCAAATTCTTTCATGGATAATGCTGCATCAGGCGCCTGAGCTCCGATTCCGGAATCCTAGTCTCAAACTCAATTGGGCACGGAGGGGTATCTGGCGCCGCCCCATTCATGAATCCTATGTCATTTAACGGCTTCGTAGGATCCAGAGTGAGCTGGAAAGCCCATAAGATGAGGAGCGAGTTGATAAACACCGATCTGTGCCGACCAAAGTGAGTTCAGAAGACGATGTGTGTGGAGAAGTAGCTTCACCTGTTCGCGACATGTTGACCGGGACATACGCTGAAGGCGATGTCATGAGTCAAAGAACGAATGGCTGTAAGGCGGTGCTTACCGCCGGCCAAAGCCATAGACGAAGAATTTCAAATCATCTCTCAGGCGACCTTGATCGTCAATCCAACGCTGAGGCTTGAACTCTTCAGGCTCCGGGTAGACGTCAGGATCTCTCGAGATCGACCTAAGACAGTGACCGTCAGATCCTTGGTATCTGGAGGCATGATGCTTACCAATGGTCGGCGTACAATGTGGTCCCGGCTGGAATGCAATAATTTTTCTGATGGGCCGTATCACGATTTGTGCGATAAGCTGTTAAAGATCACTTGCCCATATGACGTCGTGAGTTGTCCGGTGAGCCAATGCTGCGGTGTGAATGTTGTGAAATGTATGTAGGAATCAAACCAAAAGATACCCACCACCATTAGGCAAAGGTGGTCTCCATCTCAAGGCCTCAGAGATGAATGCTTGCAGGCGAGGAAGGGATTCTTGGTCGGCGAATGTTGGTGCTTTGATGCAACAGATATTGAACGATAGCACTGCAATAATGAATCAAAGCTACCTTGGTGCCTTCCGATGACCGCATCGAGTTCAGCCTGAACTTCAGCTTGCTCCTCAGGGAAACGCGCGGCAGCCAAGAGTACCGCGCATATTGCCAGAAAAGTCTCCCGCCTGATTTCAACCAAATACATTCGGAGGCAGAAAAAAACACCTTACCGTGCTGGAACCAGCCGAAAAGAAGGTACCACCAAGAAAGGCTATCTCGGTCTCTGTCAAACCATAGAGATGACCATTTTCTAGCATATATCCCATGAACGAAGGGCCAATGTCCATGTGCATCTGCTGTAGAATGGCTCAGACATGAGGTGAAGATCGAGAAGGGAGTGTATACCATTTTCTCTTTCACGAGGTTCAGCCGACCAATGTTGAGTTTCTTTTCCTTCTCAAACTCTTGTTTCAAGTCTCGTGCATACCAAGGAAGATATTTGAGCCACGGGATCACCTCCACTAGGTAAGCGTTGGGACGCAGGATCATTGCCCTCTGAACGAACTGAATGCGTCGACGAAGTGCAACAACATCGGGATCGGTCGCAGATGTAGGGACAGTCTTGCCATATGCAATCTTCATGATTGTTGTTGCCGCATAACTTCAACTCGCCTGTAAGCAGAGTGCGATCATCGCCAAAAGCACTTACGTTGTCACGTGGTTCTGGAAGTTGTGTGGATCATCGAGAATGCCAAGAACTGTGTTGCTTGCGTGTGACATCTGCAGGGGCTGATATATTTCAGCTGCTTTAGGCTGTAGATGTGAATGAAGTGCTCTGCATCACGTCGATGAGTAAGATAAATGAGGGAAAGTAAACATCGCGAATCACTGACCTACGCATCCGACGGAACCTGTCCCCAAACGGTGAAAAGACTATACTCATTCCGCCGTTAAATATTTCTCCACCAGCAATGCTGTGAGGACGGTCAGCTGTAAATTTCCCCTGGTTCTCCATAATATCCACGGCAGCCTGCGACAGATTGTTGAGCCTAGATATCAATATTCGGCATGTACCAGGGACCGACTTTGTAACGGCCGATCAAAACGGCCCTCTCGAATCCTGACCGAATGGTGACCACAGGACCGTATTTTTCAATCCATCCCGCTATAGTGAGAGATGGGCTTTTCGGCAATATGACATAAATCAACATTCAACGTTCAAAACACAATAAGGTGAATGCGAAGGTTTACAAGTATTGCGGCAAGAAGTGCCCCTTAAGTCTCCAAGTGGGAGGGGAAGGTGGGAGAGGAAGACCGCTCTCTGATTTGGCAAGGAACGCCCGAGCAATTATTCCTACGACGAGGAGACAAACTGCAGCACAGGGGACGAGCTGCGTGTTGTCGGTGATGTGCAGGTCAGGTAGTTTTAGCATGGTTGATGAAGTGCAAAGAAAGATTTAAGGGAACTCGTTGTAAGTCACGAATCATGATGTAATCGAGTGATGAATGATTCTTTAAGTACCCCATAAGTGACCCGTACCTAGGTGGGAATATGACCCTGGAGATGGTCACTGATGTGCAGATATACTACAAATCATTTGTCTAGGACAGACAGCTGCCGACATGAATCCGCCGATATCGATACTGCCAGCATGTGACGGTTCGCGCATGCCTGGTAGCACCTGACCAGCACGATCAACGATCATTTGATCATACCCCCGTCCTATCGCACGTCAGTTACAGGGTAGCGGGACCTTCCGGCAAGGTTTGGGCAGAGCAAGAGTGGACCAGAGGCCCAGGCTCCTGCATATGACACGACACGTCATCGATAGCAGCCTCTTGAGAGTCAGTGCTGACCGGTCCAACGTCCGGAAGAAGGCAATAACGTTGACAACTAAAGGTAACACCTGTAGATACTTCAAGTTGGTGTGAGTGATTGCATTGCAAATACTCGGTCTCGGATTGAAGATTGAATATTGAAGATTGAGAAGATGTAAAGATGGATTTGCACGTATTGCAAATGCTAGCGGCTCATCAAGAAGGAACACCTGTCTTCATAATCTGGCTAGAGAGATTGAACGGTCCGACAAGTCCAACGCTAGAGACCGGGCGCCGCCGTAGAGCAGTGGTACTTGAATACTACAGGAAGTTGAACGATCCGATCTTCCGAGTCTATACGCGCAGCTGGCAAGAAATAGTAGCGTATCACGCAAGAGCAAATAAGGGCGCTTAGCGCAGTGGTAGCGCGTATGCTTTGCACGAGCATCCGAATTGTATAAGGTCCAGGGTTCAATCCCCTGAGCGTCCATTTTTTGTGGTCTCCGATTGTTCATTGGATGTCACACTGCAATACAAGAATCAAGCATATATCACCGGTCATTTTATTGAGCATGTCGAGGGAGTGCTGGCACTGGTCGCTAAACTGTGTTTGATCGAAAGCGAATACGAAACGAGATGACATAATAGTACATGACAAACGGTAATTCGCAAGTTCAATAGAGACGAAAGAGAATGAAAATAAAGAACCTGTAAAATCGTACCAGATAAAAACAATACAGCAGGAACTACACACCGATATGAATGAAAATCATACTCTGATCGAGTGGCGCTTTCGTCTTTACCGAGTGTGTGCCCATGCCGCCTTCGTACAGTCCATGAAACAACCATCTCTCAAATCTTTGAACATATTCTCGTAGAACGCTTCGACAACGTATTTTGCGGCAGCGTCGTCAACCTCCCACAGCATGCCAATGATGTTCTTGAACCCCGAAAATTGGAGATCAGCTGCAAGGCGAACAACTTCGTCGGGCATCTCCTCATCGTCGAGGGCGGTACCATGACACTCGGCATGCGGAATATCTTTCTCCATAATATCGAGCAATGTCAGATGATCATCTCATGACAAAATGGGAATCGTAAGGGTCCTACTTGCCATGACAAGCAAGGTGTACCCAGGAGTTTTCTTGCAAAGCTTCGAGTGCACCTGCTCGTGTGGCTGCGTCGCCAGAAATAGTGGTACTCTTGACCGTCGCAGGGACAAGCTTCCGGATAAACTCGAGCTCGCTGTCGACAGCCACGAAAGACAGAGGCACACGCTTTATCTAGATCTGATCAGAGCCAGTGTCGGTGTGAGAACAGATAGAGATCCTCTGGGCACGGCTCCTTGCCAGAACGATTTGCCTCTGTTAGAAAGGGATTAGCTGCATGGAGAGGAATAGACGTGAAAGCCGCAATTGGACACAGCCAGATTCGAGAACGGCGTTTCAGTTTCAGAACGAGCTCGAGTGCGTTGACGTGACGATAGGTAGCATGATTTCGTCCCATATTGTCCGCAAGAGTACTATTAGATTCATTCTCGAATCCCCTGTATTCATCCGACATGCTTGTTGTATTTCCCCGGTGAAGGGATCTTTGAGAGTCTGTAGATCTGCGAGAGCGATAGATGGTAAAGGAACATGATGGGGCTCTCCTGACGTCGGTACAACGATGGAGTATTCACTCGCAACGAGGATGATGACTGGGCCTTGGCGGGCTGCTGCTTGTAAGTCTGCATACAATGGCGGAAGTAGGAATTGCGAGAATGCTTGAAGGTTACGTATGTCAGCACCGCAGCTTCCTATTGCTTTGTAAGTCTCGTATATTCCGTTGTTTCCCTATCAGAAGCAGCTCCGTCTGTACTACCTGCGGAACCCTGGGCCAGAAAGGTGTTTGTTGAGCTCCGAGAATGTGAGCTAGGTGAGGATTCGTCGACTCGAGGTCTTCAAGTGGACTCCGCAGACGAGAAGCCAAGAGCCATTGTTGTCCACGGCCCCACTCCATGAGTTCGACTGTGCATCGTAGATCGTCACGACGGATGGTACATGATGCTGCATCTACAGGCAGCGATATGACACCACTGAATACAGCAGCTTCGCGTCGTGAAATTGTTGATGATTGGGCTACTAAATGACCGTCAAGAGGGTCGAAACTATTGTAGGCCTCTAGCACAGATGTATGACTGCCGCTCGGCTGCGGCGACCCAGTTCCAGGCTGTTATAATGCGGTATGGAAAGCCCTGAGTAGGGTGTCCGATGCCAATATGAAGTTCTCTGCAGCGAGTGATAGGTCGGTAAGGTTGTGTTGCACTTGGTGACGAGACAGGTAGATTTCCTGAAGCCGCACGTAGCTTAGATACATGTGCTGTGAAGGCAAAGCCTTTAATAATTCCCGGCACAGATTAATGGCCTCCTCAGCATCCTCATTTGTCCGAGTCTGCGTGCTTGCGGAAGAGGGAAGTGGTGGTCGATGTCTTGAAAATTATTGCAGATATTTGAAGGCCCGTATATGCGAGGTTGGTAAGAGCCACTGCGTGGTCAGGACGGTCGACTGGATGCTCTACAGCACCATTCAGATGAGAGACCGTCTTGCTCGTCATGTATTCGGAAAATCGTCAATCTTGTGGCAGCCTACGAGAGACTACAGTTGGCACTCCATCGGTAAAAGCTAGCAACAGGAGCCAGCCGTCACTTACATCAGACAGCGCGCCATCCTCATTGTTGCAAGTATATATAATAACGGCCTTCAGCGCGAGGGAAGATGTACATTACGGACAGTGGGAAAGTCATATCTACAAGATGTTAGTAGATGTGCATGAATGAGGAGTAAACGTTCACCCACCAAAAGTTTTATCTCCGTGATGAGTCTAGATAGCTCATTCCACGAGACTTCTCCACTACCATAAGACGAGAGTGGGGATATGGGGAGTAAGGGGACAAGCGGTTAAGGTTCAAGTCGTGTTGCACAGTTGTTCGGTACGACAGACGCTGGTTAATTACATCAGGCGCTGAGAAGGGGAGCCTGTACTAAAGAAGTACGTGGCCATGGCAGTTATCAGGGAACGTGGCGCGCCAAGGGACAGCTTTGCGTGATAGTCGCTACTTCTGAACTTTTATCACCGAGTCCAACTAGTACTCATTTAGCACACAAGGTAAGATGTGAAATCCACCCTGACTGTTACAATTCCTGAAGGTAATGCAAACTGTTGAGAATTGCCAAAACGATTTAGAGAACACGGTGATAGCCGAAAGCGTCGGCTGACAAAGCGAACCTCGCTTTGAAAATTGGCGGATTAGTCATCGCTCGAGATCTCGTCATACGCTCCCGGCGTCTCGCTCATGCTCAATCTAAGAAACCTGCTCCACCTGACAAGCGAGCGAGGTTCTCATCTAGTAACTCTGGCGATAGGACGACCATGCAATAATTAGGATTAGAGGGTCAGACAACGATTGACCCTGGTATTAGAAGATGATCAATGTGTCACCTGGGGTCTAGGTGGGCCTCGGCGTACATTATCTTCTCCTTGCCAACTCCCTGTTGGTAAACCTATTGTCCATTGTCATATGTGGTAAGTATAGGTGAGTGCATGCTTGAAAAGTAAACTAAGGTTTATATGCTGCCAAAATGCGTACAGAGAGTGGATGGTCATGCAAATTGAAAGGTACTGAATTTAAAATGAATGCAGGGCAGAGGCGATCGCGGTATAGACGGAGAACTCTTCCGGGAGTTGCAGAATGCAGAAAAGGCATCATGTTCCTGGAGAAGCCGAATGTCGAAGTATGCGCGGAAATGGAATGTGCGAAGGGGAATCACTACCAGGCAGCTAGACTACCATACCTGATGCTGAATAGCACACAGGCCACGGCGACACCACATATAAGTGAGATATTTCTAGACCTGGGATTTGAATATAAGCGTTTCGAATCTAAACATGAATCAGCCATCATAACAAACAGGAACGAAGTGAAGCCCTCACCAGGGGAATTGGATATTAAGGGGGGAGTGAGCATCATATTCCGAGGATTTAGCTCTGAATGTGATACAAAGTCGCGGTGCCGGTTGAGGTCTAGAGCAAGCTGGAGCGTGCACAATATCTCATCATCCGAGGAGCCTTCGGAGGGTCTTTCAGAGATGGGAATGATGCAAAGCTCGTCTTCTAGTTTCCATGCCCTCGTTTTTGAAGAAGCGACGCAGCATTGAAAGTGTCGTAGGACCTTCCAGACTAAAGCATCAACCTCCTTCGCACCGGCATGCGATGTTACCATCGCCTCTATTTCACGCGTAAAAAGCGAGGATGAGGTAGTTGATAGATATGTTGCGGCAACTTGACGCAAGTGAAATATGAAGTAGGGCGGCGGATCATGGTCAGCTAATGGGGAGCGGATTTTGGCATCGACGCATGCATCGGAGTTCCACCGATCACGAGCACGAGCGATCTCTGGCCGCTGGTGCCCTCCAATTTTGGCGCACCAGCAACCGCCAGTGACCCTTATTTCAGGCCAATCTGACACGTTTGGACCGTAGACGTGAAGATTATAGGCTTTACAGCTATCACAAAGGTCATCGAGGGCGCTCTGTAAGCTGCGATTGAGCGATCCGAGTAAAGAGGCGGAGAGCGCGAGATGTAGATGGGTGAGGATACGAAAGCGGATCTCGATGGGTAGCATGAGAGGTAGACACGACATTGTAGTGAGTTCTGGAGATACATATGCAAGGACAGCATGTATGAGTGTCAGTCGAGTGACTCGTAAGCAACTGGAAGGGGACTCCATGGGAGATCAAGTCAAGTCGTGCAAGTGGTGGTGGGTGAATATAAATCCAGGGGAACAATTATGATTGCGAGTTGAAATACGGCGTTCAGTGTGCGGATATAAAGCCTCGAGGAAGGGACATGAGGTGAAGTATTTGAATGGACGCAAAACAAATATCCAACGAAAGCATCATATCTCCTTCTTCGAGATCGGCGACATCGTAGAAGCGCCGTACACACGGTCACAAGATAATACTTGCATGTGAAGTTCCCACCCAATCATAGGACGGTGTTTTGGTCTAGACACATAATGTGCCAGTCAGAGGGAGAACAAGGAGGAACCACTGGCTACATCATACTTCGGGCGAAAGGGATTCGAAGACACAGATCAGCAACTGGAAATACCTTGCTTCTCCGAGTCTATCATGGAGGAGACCTGACGACCACGAACTAAAAGACTCGCCAGTCACAACTTTTGGGGCGCTTTTCAATCGACTGTTCTGGATTGGCCTGAGGAGTCATGCAGCCAGGAGATTAAAACCAACCAGCTTCTGTTGTAGTGAGTCGGTTGTCTAGTAAAGTGATGGAAGTTTCTTCAGAGAAGAGATATCCGAGAATAACCGCAGCACCGTGCCTTTAGGCCGATATACATCCCCATTCGTAACCCTAACCTCAATCTAGGTTTCGGCCTCCCGAACACAACGGTCAGCGCTTAACGTTCTCATCTCACGACACCATCCGTTAGAATGATTCTCCTTCGTCCACCGACAGGCAGAGTGCTTAGGTTAGGGACCCTGTCACGTCCGATGTCTTCGGTTCCTACCCTGCCACTTCACCCGCCATCATTAGCCGAGCAAAGCGCTGCCTTCGATGCTCGCGTTCAAGACGTCTTCGCTTTCTTTTCTTCCCCCCGATTTGCTTCTATCACCCGTCCCTATACCGCTCATGATGTAGCACTAAAGCAGGGTTCTGCGCCTGTTCTTCCCCTGCCATCGACACTCCTTGCTAACAAGCTCTTCGCCTTATTCACTGAGGCAGCTTCTAAAGGTCAACCTGTGCCTACCATGGGTGCTATTGACCCCGTTCAAATGACCCAAATGGCAAGGCATCAACAAGTCGTATACGTTTCTGGTTGGGCTGCAAGCTCAGTGCTAACTACGGGCAATAATGAAGTTGGTCCTGATTTCGGGTAATGACCGCCGGATCATGTGCATGTTCGCGCTCTTCTCATCTACATCGTATTAGAGATTACCCTTATACAACCGTACCAAACCAAGTTCACCGTCTCTTCCGTGCGCAGCAACTTCATGACCGGAAGCATTACGATGAACGTATGTCCGCATTGCTAGAAAGGCGTGCAGATATTTCGTACATCGACTATTTACGACCAATTATTGCGGACGGTGATACTGGGTAAAGACAGCACCTTACTTAATCTTTATATGTAACTCACGACATCTTAGCCATGGAGGGACCTCTGCCGTTATGAAACTTACAAAGCTCTTTGCGGAGTCAGGTGCTTCAGCCGTACATTTCGAGGACCAACTTCACGGCGGAAAGAAATGCGGACACCTTGCAGGGAAAGTTATTGTTCCCCCAAGCACACATGTATCACGGCTTGTTGCGGCCCGTTTCCAACTTGATATGCTTCTATCTCCGATGTTGCTTATTGGCCGCACTGATGCTGAAAGTGGCAAGCTCCTTTCCACCAGCATTGATCCTGTTGATCACCCGTAAGTCCTAATTTTAGCACTAAGTATCGATCTAAAACACGTCACCTTAGATATATCCTCGGTACTACGACGCAAGGACAACCTCTTAGTGAAGCTCTTGCGCGAGCCACAGGCAGTGCGGATGCTGCCAGAATTGAGAATGAATGGGATTCATCAAACGAGTTGATCACCTTCGATCAAGGCACGTATTCCTCAGTGTCTTTTGTTCGCCACATTGAGCATGCGGCATAGCCGTTGAACAAGTGCTATTGTCTAGCAGTAGTTCGAACCCACGCGGCGTGTTCGAGCAGTACAAGAAGGCAGTGGCCGGTAAATCAAACTTTGAAGCACGTCGGATTGCTCGGGAGGCTGTTGGCCAGGATATCAACTGGAACTGGGACCGTGAGTACGACTGCCAATGCCTCGAGGTGTTCACTCATCTTTGGCAGTCCCCCGCACACCCGAAGGCTTCTATCGAACTACTGGTGGCCTCCAGGCAGCCATCGACCGTGCCCTTGTGTACGCACCATACGCAGACTTGCTGTGGCTGGAAACCGGTAAGCCAGACTTAGCGGAGGCCAGAACCTTTGCGAGAAAGATCCGGGAGAAATACCCTGGCAAATGGTTTGTATACAATCTGAGTCCCAGCTTCAACTGGTCGCAGGCAGGGTTTAGCGGTACGTTACTCCCCAAACAGTAATGTTCTTTGTCTGAGAGCGCAAACGGCTTGAGCAGATGCAGATCTCAAGAACTTCATATGGGAACTCGGAAAAGAAGGGTGCGATAGTTGGCATCTTACCCCGAATGTGACTGCCTCATTGATGAACCTAGATTTGTTTTGCCACTGATTTCCCTTGCCGGGCTGCACACTAATGCTGCTGCTACCGGTACGTCACCTCCTGAATGCTAACACCATGACGCTTACTGGATGTCCACCCAGCCGAGCTTGCTGCACGGTTCAAGGATGACGGCATGCTTGCTTATGTGGAACTTGTGCAACGCAAGGAGAAGGAGATCGGCTGTGATGTTCTCACCCATCAAAAGTGGTTTGTGTCATTTTCCAAGTTCTGTCCCCGATATGTTGTCAACGTTCACGATACAGGAGCGGAGCCAACTACCTTGATTCGATAATCCAGACTGTATCTGCGGGATCGTCAAGCACGTCTGCCATTGGGAAGGATTCGACGGAACATAGTTTTTGATCCTTAAGACACAAGGATATATACTAATTGGACTTTCTACTTGTGGCACTAGTGTGCTAGCCCCATACCAGCCCCGAAGAATCAAGAGTGATATTTGATTACATACCAATGTCGTTTCTGCTTGAAGAGCTTACGCGACTCGGAGATGCAGATCGCTGATAACTTGGTCGCAACTTTGTGCCAAGTACACATCCGTTCAACGCCGCTCTGACTCAGATGAGTGTTCCAGACAAATGCTAATATGGCACGCTTGAAAGATGCTGTGAATCGATTGGATTTATCCAATGTCGAATTTTGCAAAGAACCACGCAATAGGGCACTCGGCCATGAAAAATCGAGGGATATTAAGAAGCGACCCTGCTGTTATTGTGCAATGAGAGACCATCAGCGGCCAAGTACCGCGATGCCGCCTGCTCTGAGTTCTCGGGTTATACATATTTTCCCGGGCATATCTTGCAACAATATTTGATGATCCTGTTGGAGCTGGGATGGAGAACAGTACCCCTGAAATGGTGTACCTATCTACTAGTGTGTGCCTTCTCGGATATCGTTGCTGATGCTAACTTGATGGTTGCTACAAGGACTTTACAAGATGTGCTCACGCAGTCAGGTTGCTTGACTCGGCACGCTCGCAGAGATGTACATGCGTTCCCGTTGCGTTCCCGCTGAGCTTTGAATAATCTGAAGCATTGGGCTTTCAGCTGCTACAAGCACCATGCATTGCTCAGCATGTATCTATGCCAGACTTGTCCAGTTCGTGGTTTTGCCCAAGTGAATCCAATTGTATGCAATGAAAGTAATAATAAGATATGGTAATGAAGCAAAGCGATGATATGTAATGTAAAGATGTGGGAAAGCAAAAAGTAAGAGCAATGATGATGATGCAACGACCGCAAAAGTGAGACAAAAAAAAAGAGTAAACCCTACCTGCCAAGAACGAAGGTCAATCTTGATCAAGTGTTTGATAGGGATAAGACAAGTTCGGGTATAGGCGGGGCGAGGAGGACACTAGCTCATACTGTGCCGATTCAAAACTGCTATCTACTTTGGAATGGCGAGGAGGAGCAGGAGATACAGAACTCGAGGGTGGCAGAGGTGAAGATGTCTGCTGTAAGGACGACGATGTTCGCGAGTGCGTCCTAGATGGGAGGGCAAAGTCTTGAAATGACGTCGAAAGATTCGATGAGGCTCCCATTTTAGATCGTCCAACAGACCTTCTTCGCTCAAAAATACCACTGCCCGTTCGGGCGTGATTTGAAGGCAGATATTGCTCAGCAAGTTTCGGGGTTGGGGGTATCCCAGCATCCAAGACGCTCGGCCTCCGAGGCTTTATGGTCTCGTTAGACACAGGTCTTTCAGTATCTCGCCTTGGTTCTGAAGGAGCACTGGAAGAGGCTGTGGAGCCTGATACTGATTTCCAGGTCTTGAGAATCGATTTACGAACGCTAGTCTTCTCCGACGAAGGAGTTGTTGGAGACGATGGTCGTGTGGGTGTTCGTGGCATGGCTGTTACAGGCACAGGAGGCAATCCTTTTTGCGGCGGTGGGGACGGCCCGAGTTGATCATGCAACGATGAAGAAGGCGGTACAAATCCTTGGAACGAAGTTCGATTTGGCGTGGGAGGTTGCTGAGCTGACACTGACGCAGACTTGCTTCTACGCCAAAGTCTCTTGAAAGTCTTGACACTGACGAGAGGAGTAGAGGTTTTTGCAGTCACAGCATCCATCGAGAAACTCTCTGAATCAGCAGAGAATCGGCTAGAGGGTGTTGTAGAAGCAACAGAACCCTCGTCTACAGATGACAAAGATGGTCTGGATTCGACAGGAATACTGGTGAATTGCCCAGTTGCAGGATCCCAATAAGTCGGGGTGGAGTGTGCCTCTGACTCGAGATAAGAGGGGTAGCGACCAAAAGGATCAGGAGACAACGGAATGGGGGAGTCAGTCGCCGTATCCGATAGCCTTCCAAATGAAGGGGGCAAGGGTGTTGGGTACATGGACGGCTCCAAATCTCGTTTGCGAATCTTGGTCTCTGTGGAGAGAGTATTGGGTGATGAAGACCGCGAGGGTGGAGCAAATGATTTTGGGGCACCTGTTGACACACCGTTGATAGCAAGCTGAGGTGGTGACGGAGTGAGATTTGAAGGCCGATGTGATTGGGAGCTTGGAGATTGTGATGAATTATTAGTGATAGATGAGTAGGAGATAGCAGGCCACGATTTGTCGCTTGTATCGGCATGATCGATAGAGTTTCTGAGGCTTTCTTAAGCCGAAAAACCATGGACAGTTGAAATTGAACTCACCCTGTCGCCTGGAAATCACGTGTCCGATCAACCGATAA